ATGGTAGCTCCTCACACAGTGGGCGGTGGGTCTCTCCAGAAGCCTTCTGTGGATTTTCTGGTACTACAGATCAATGGCTTGCACCAGTCACATGCCCGCCTTAGACAATGTCAACTAAGAATGGCCTAGTGCTATCAGCTCAGAAAGCAATGGCTTCTTCTCTATGACAACCTAAGCAAAAACCAGGATCTCTGAAGGAGACCTGAAGATGAAGTCTATGAATTTGCAGCAATACCAAACACCTACAAACCTGGCTGGTGATGCTTGGAGAATGCTAGTGGATTGACTCATTATTTTAAAAACTGGCAAATTAGTAGAAAGAATGAGGAGCTCCTTCTGCTTTTCCTGTGTTGACTGGGAATCACTGAGGAAGGACATCCCTCTTTATGAAAGTATTCCAGCTTGTAAGTCAACAAGAAATAATACAATGCTACCATTCCCAACATCTGCTGACTGCATGGACTGAGCATCACCAATTACCATGTCAGAGAAAGAAACCATCCTACTTCCATGCCACTGATGGAAGGGGCCATTGCTGCCTCAGAAGTCAGTTTGCTAGAAAAAAAAAAAAAAGAAAGAAAGAACACTAAGCAAAATTAAATACTTCCAAGACTCTAAATCTACTTATTAATTTATGGTGAACATGAAGGGTGTGTACTCAGGACAAATAACTTGACTTTTCCAATTAATAAGTTGCATGAAACAGAAGAGGCAGGAGAAGGAACTTATGGATTAAAAGGAAGAAGTAAGGATTATGACTCAGTCACTGTGCCTGACTTCATTTGAATCCAAAGTCAAGCTGCCAGGGGACTGTGGTACCCTTTAAGTACTTGAGGACTTAGGCTCTGAAAGAGTGTTGCACAGCCAAGGAACTAGTGGTAGTTTTTGTGGGTGTGGTATATTTGATTAGAATTTTTAAGATGCTTTCTCTTTTAGAGATAGTCTCTGAAACATTGGTAGATGAATAAGATGCTTCACACAGGCATGGTGGTGGTGAACAGAAAGTATTAATCAAGCAAGGTGGGTCACAAAGTATTGATGGCTGACTGAGTCAGAACTTTACTTTCCCTTTAATTATTCCATGCTAACATGTTTTTACTTTTTCCTTAATTTTAAAATTTGCAGCTTTTAATCTGCCATGCTTTAACTTACCCAAACAGTGGGCTATAGAATATATAGGTTATTTCCCAAGTGCTGTTATGTGAATGGCGGTGTCCTTTCCTATTCATATGTTAGAACCTGGTATCCAGTGTGGTAACATTACAGCAGGCCTTTAAGTCGTAGGAGAAGGGAGTAGACTCCAGGGACCTCCCTCACCCATTTAGCCACTTCAGGATAGTGCTGTCCTTCCCACAATGTGGGGACAAACAACAAGGTGCTGTCTACCAAGCAGAAAGCAAGCTTTTAGCAGACATCAGGTCTTCCCATGGCTTTACCTTGGACTTCCCGGCTCCCAGAAAGGTGACCAATACATTTCTGTTTATAAATTACCCACACTAACGTATTTGGTGAGGGCAGCCTGAATGGACAGACGCCATGTTCTCCAATTACAAACAATGCTACTGTGACCAGCCTTCTACATGTTTCATACTAAATTCCTGTCAGGGGGCAGACTGTCTCCCAGAAAAGTCTTCCTCTAACATGCTGGGCTTTCAGTTACATTTTTTAAATATTTAAGTAATCCTAAGTTTTGTTTGTTTGTTTGTTTTTTGCTAGCATTCTATTAGGGTTGTGGATTAAATTTAGAATAGACTCCTTCCTAAGGATAAGGGCCTGCCTCTTCACTTTGCCTTGCCCTGGTTATATATTGTCATTGGAACTGGACATCACTAAACTCTATCAGTACTTTTGAAAGCTTTTCAGTTCATTTCCTTAAGGTTTCAAAGTATAGTTAGGTCAGGCCCAAAGTGGGAAAATTCAGGCAGTGTTTGCCCAGGGGATCTAGGTAAGCCTAGCCCTGCTGGTCTGCTCTTGTCTGAAGTCTCTAGAAGTACATATGAAGCAAAGGATGCAAACAATCATTGTTTCAGTGGAGGGCTTGATCCAGGCTGTGATGTTAAGCTGGTATAAATCAGGCTACAACTTTGTACTATAAACATCTATAATACTCAGAATCAAGAACTGCCTGCCTTGCAACCTGCTCTGCTCATGACTACCCTAGTATCCATCCTCAATCTTGGTCCCTGCTCTTACAATACTGGGAAAGGCCACGTTAGAGTACACCACTGACCACAAGTTTGTGCAAAATGCAAAGAGCATTTGCTCCAGTGACTGAGGCTACTCAACTGTCTTCTGGGCATCTTGCTGTTTCAGGTACAAGGAAGAAAAGCTGAAGAAGAAATTAAAATATCACTTTCTGGGAGGGGTCTGGATGTTTTCTTTTCCCTCAAGTGTAGGCAGAGTTTTTCTGTGTCCCAGCAGCTGCTCCCAAATAACCAGACTAAGACTTATTATTAATTATAAATGTTCAGCCTGTAGCTCAGGCTTGTTACTAGCTAATTCTTACATTTTAAATTAACCCCTATTTCTTATCTACCCTCTGCCATGTGTCAGTAACTTCTTCAACATGGCATGTTCATCTTGTTTCTCTCTGCATCGCCTGAGACTTCGGAGATTCTGCCCTCCTTCCTCCCAGTGTCCTCTCTGCCCCCAAATCCTGCCTATCCATTGTCCAATCAGCTTTTGATTAACAGTGAGAGCAACTCGTCATTATAGTGTACAAAAGATTATTCCACAGCATTCAAGCCTTACATAGAGCAGTCAAAAAAGTAACAACTTCCAGAGCCTACTGCTAGACAGCTATCCTGTGAATGGATAACATGCTACCCCAGCTCCGTGACAACTCCACCGTCTAGGACAAATGCCTTTGAATTTCACTCATCAAAACTGGAAAGGAAGCTGGGCAGTGGTGGTGCATGCCTTTAATCCCAGCTCTTGGTAGGCAGAGGCAGGCCAATCTCTTGAGTTTGAGGCCAGCTTGGAGAAGGAAAAGAAAGGAACCATTTGTGGTGTTGCCTACAATCCTAGTGCTTGGGGTTGGGGGGTTCAGGTTTTGGTATCAAATGTTCAAGGTTAGTTTTAGCTACTTTGTCTCAAAAAGACTTTTTGAAAAGGAGCTGTGTGTATAATTGATTCACCTAAATCATCTGTACCAATTTCAGTTCTCAAATTCCATCACTATATTACATTACAGTATTAATTATGTGAGTAAGCACCAACTTTATTCCTATATTTCTTAGATATACTCTTAAGCTGTTTATTATTGAGTGAATGTAGCCATTTACTAAGGGTTTCTTTGATCGAAAATGACTATTGAGTCAGTCATAGTGGCACATGCCTTTAGTCCCAGCACTAGGGAGGCAGAGGCAGGTGGATCTCTGTGAGTTCCAGGCTAGCCTGGTCTACAAAATGAGCTCCAAGACAGCTAGGGATTGTTACACAGAAAAACCCTATCTTGAAAAAAAAATAAAAAAACGAACAACAAAAGACTATTGAGTGCTATCACTTTAAATAATCAATCAAATCCTATTTCTTTGACCTATTTATGTAGAATAACTCTTACCATTGTATCATATTTATACCACTGAAATAATCCCGATAGTCATCATGGTATTTATTGTTGGATCTTATTTGTTGATATTTTATTTAGAATTTTAAAAAATATGTCATCTTTGTCCGGCTTGGTACCAGCATGTTATGTGAAATAGTAAACAGACCAATGCTCTGTCTTAAAGGCAATGATTTGGAACCCATAAAAACATATGACACGTATTTCGAATTTTTTCCGACCTTCCACATCTAGTCTTGATTTAATTTTCTAGAATTATCTTGAGCCCATTTTCTCTTCTCTTTAAGCCCAGTCCACTATCGTACTAAATTCAAGGGCTGCTGGTGTTCTGCCTAAACTGAGCTTTTAGCCTCCAGCCAGTGAACTTGCTCAAGACCGAGAATCATGCGGACCTCTTCCCAAAAGCCCTTGGATCCTGTGACCCAGGTTGCAGTTACACTGCTAAGGCCTTCATCATTTGACCCACTTTTCTGAGTCATCTGGAAAGAAACCATATGGTCAAGGGGTGAAGAGATGGCCTTGAGTCCTGGCCTTACCTCTAATTGTATGGTCGGAAGCAAGTCACCCAAATCTCTGCTGTCTCCCCTGTAAGTGGCCTGAGATCACGTACTATGAAAAGCTGAGGCCAAGAAAATAAGGAAGTAAATCCATTTAAAATTTCCACTGAAAATCATATATATATATATATGTATATATTTATAGGGCACAGTTTTTTTGATATATGTATACATTATGTGATGGCAAAATCAAGCAGGGGGAGGAGGGAAGGAGGTTATGGAGTTCGAGCCTCACTTGGGCATTTAGGGAGACCCTGTTCCGAAATTATCTATTCCCTCAGCAATTTTTGGTGTGCGCTGTTAATAACTGTAGCCGCCGGGTAGTACAGTGGCTTTCTTGAGCTTGCTCCTCCTAACTGAAACCTGATCACTAGCTCCCGTGTCCCTTTTCCCTAGTCCCAGTAACCACCGCTCTACTGTGCCGGTGGGACTTTTTAAAAGCTCCTTAAATTGAGATCCGTAAGTATCTGTCCGGTGCCTACTTTGCTCAACATCCTCCAGGTTCATTCCACATCGTCCCAAGTGACAGAATTTCCTTCATTTTAAAAACGGGACTGATCTCTGTGCCTTCCAACACCACACAATGAGGTCGGCCTCCTCCGGGATGGAGTTGGTAAGACTGGCCTAGCACCCGCCGGCTCTTGGTTTCGCAGCAGGCAGAAAAACCAACGCCTTTAAAATGTTAAGACCCTAAACCTGGAGAGGCATAGGTCGCCCGAAATCTGGGCACTAAGACAGAATGAGGGGTGCAGCACAGGGTCCTCACAGAGGCTGGGCTGCAGGTGGGGTCGCGGGTCCGAGCGGAGGAGGGGGGGGGAGGGGGGAGGAGGAGGAGCGCAGCGCGCAGCCCCCTCCCCTCTCTTGCTACCCCCCTCCCCTTCCCTCATTCCGCGGCAACTCTCCTCCCCTCCCCTCGTTTGTCTTCCCACTCCGCGGCCCCCTCCTCCCCGCACGGCTCAACTCGAGCGCTGCCCGCCGAGCCGGGCCGCTTCAGGGGGAGGCGCCAAGTCTCGGCTGTTCCCGGGCCCGGCCGAGCAGTCCCCGCTGCCGGCAGCGGAGCGGACGCGGAGCGGAGGTAAGCGTGCGTGTGGGCGGCGGGCGCGGGCGGGCCCCGGGGAACCCCGGCCGGGCGGGGAGGCCTCACCCTGCGCCGGCCCGGCTGCGCAGCCGCTGCCGGGGCTGGGCGCGCCTCCATTCCCACCCCAGGCCGCAGGCCGGGGCCCCGCGGCGCGCACGCGCGAGCCCGTGGACGAGGTCGATGGCGCGGTTCTAGGTTCACGTCCCTTTCCCGGGCCCTGGGACCACGCCGCGGTGCGCATGCGCGCAGGCCTGGCCGAGGGTCCATTTTTTTTTTTTTTTTTTTTTTTTTTTTTTTTTTTTTTTTTTTTGGCGTCGCCCCGAGGCCGCGAGGCTAGGATTCCCGCTTCCCGCTCGCGGTGGGGAGAGGAGGGAGGGCTGGGCCCCCGGGGGTCCCCAGCTACCGGTGCGCGAGCTAGCCGTGCTGTTCCCAGGGCTTTCCGCCCGGGACCGCCCCGCGGACTGAGGGGCGGCTCGCTTTCTTTGCAGGCCTCGGGTCGCCAAGGGGAGGGATGGCGGGGAAGGCCTGGCTCTGCATCCAGAGCCGCCCCAAGATTTTCAGCCTGCCGCTTGGGCCCTACTTCGGCCCGAAGTGGAGGGGTTTAGAGGTGGAAAACTTGCCCAGTGCCCCCTCCTTGGCGGAGATGGGACTTCCGCCTGAGTTGCAGACAGGTTTAGAGCCGACCCTTTGCCGTTGTTCTTTACAAGGTAAAGACCGAACCCGGACTGTAACAAAGGACACAAAAGTCAAGATGCTTTCTAGCGCACCCGGGCGGCTGCCCTGGCCGCCCGAACTAGGCTCGGTCACATGAGGCCACTTGGCGAGAGAGCCGTGAAAAACGGATTTCGTCAAGGTGGCCACGTTGGGAAGTTCCTAACTTGAAATAGTGGGCAAGTGGGCAGGGCCAGGTGTGGTCCGGTCTGTCACGGAACCATCCTGTCTCAGCTCCAGTCACCATTAAAGCCTTAGAAAGCTGAAGGGAGAGGCACACGTGTCTCCCTTTAGAGTAGCTTTCCATCCTGTCAGAACCGTTACTTGGTGACTTAATCCCTGCCATAGCCAAATAAAAGTGACCGAGTTCACGAACAGTCCTGCGGAACTTAGCTCTTTTGTCTTGCGATAGTCCACTGTTTACCAGTCATTGGGTTCCTCAGTTTTTGCACCTTCCCAGTGGAAGGCTGCCACCTTCCTGGGCAATGGCATGTAGTTAAGTCAGTTTCAAGAGGCCAGGGGCTACTATGGAGAGTGTCTAACAATGCCATTACTTCTGTGCCTTGTAGTCTTGTACGATGTCTTCTGGCACAGACATTTGGTAGCTGGAATAGAGTAACTGCTCAGAGACCCTGAATGCATTGGGTGCAATGTAACATCTTTGTTTCCCAATAATAGCTGCTCCATACACAATACCAAGTAGCAGGGCCACTAGAGTGACGCTTATCTTAAGCACAACACCACTCCCACCATGCAGGCCTTGTTGCTGTGTGGGGGCTTCCCGAGTGGACCCCACCATTCCAGAGCCTGTGCATTTGTTCCACGGTCACATGGCAGTCAGTGGACTTTAACATCTTGTGACAGTTGCATCACTTCAGAGAGAGAACTTTCCCATCTAAAATGGCCACTGTGCTCTGATTCTCCAACCTCTTATCCTGTCCTTGGCCTTGTAGCACCTGATGGCATCTGGTGTTATACACTTCTGTGGTTCTCTTGTGTCTGCCCCACAGTCAATACTACAGTCAAGGTGTTCGTTAACTATATGAGTGAAAGTTAGATTGAAATCTAACTTACGCCAGAGAGACTTTGTGCAGGACTTGGACCCGTGTGACACTTCTTTATTGCTGTCCTAGGTGTTTGGTGTTTAGCAGTTAATAAAAAGATCACTTTTCTCCGGTGCCTACATTCTTGTGAAAGTTGAGGAACAATCAACATCTAATACGTTTGCCAGAAAGTGTTAAATGCTCTAAAAAGTGGAATACGGATTGAGAGTGCAGAGGTGGGTTGTGATTTTTAACCACCTGGTGACTGTGGAAGGTGATATTTATGGTGGGATGAAAAGTCCTTTTAGGAGGAAATACTTCCATCCTGTCCTGCGGCCTGCAGCCCTGCCACTACGACAACAGATGTCACTGTCCTTTACAGTGTATAGAGAAGAGGTGAAAGTATCAGGATTTTTTGGCTTAACTCACCATAGCTAATGGAGACCAGAATCTTTCTCATAGAAGAGACTAACCAGATAACCACTATGGATGTGCTCCGAAAAACTATAGAGCCAACTTTCCATATCCTTACATTCTGTAACCACAGATTTAGCAAGCCTGGAATTGGAAAATATTAAGAGAGAACCTTTAGTGAACATACAGAATTTTGAAGGGTCATAATTAACTAAATAAGAAAGGATATCAACTTTAAAAATTTTTTTTTTCCTTTAAGACATGATTTCACTCTGTACTTTACTATCTCAGACTGTCCTGAAACAACTTACTAGGATCCTCCTGCTTCAGCTTCTCTAGTACTGAGGTTACAGGCACCAAGCCTGGAGGGATAGCAACCATCTACACAGCACTTACATCAGGTGTTACTTCTGTGTCTGGTTGCAGATACATAGGAAGGAGGGTGTGCCCTGGCTGTATGCATGCTACAGTTTCTGTAGGTGACTTGAACATTCACAGAGCATGGTATTGATGGAGTTTGGGTCCTGCAACGGTCCCACTGTACTCTGGTTTATTGTACAGTGCAATTGCTTCTTAATGTCCCCTGACATTAAGTCATGGGGACGACTAGTGTGATGTTATGTCATGATATTCAGTGATCTCTATTAGAGATTTTGTATGAGCCAGACAAGTCTCAGCAGCCTTGGCTCTTGACTTTAGAGGACTTAGAGAAAGACACTGATAGAGAGGAACTATTTTAGGAAAGTGGTTCCTCTGAGGTCTTTCATTGAAGTGAAGTAGATTCCAGACACTCCATGTTCAAGCATTAAGAGACGATTGCTCGAGAGGTATAGCTGTAGGGAGCTCTATTAACTTACTTTTATGCACAGGAGATGGTCATATTTAATTTCAGTTTTAACAGATCTGAAATGAAATTAAAATGCTTACTAGATACTGCTATTTTCAAGATTTATTTGGCATTACTACAGTCTAAAATTGTCCAGGAAAGGGAGATGTAGACAGAATTATCAGGGTGGCAGAGAGGCACTGAGACCTTCTGTTCACACTGAAAACAAGTGAATCCATGTGGGAATGCCCTCTTAAGCAGATCAGTTGCCCCGGTTGATCCTTCTAGCTTTCCTTATCTGGAAGGAACACTGTGTCTCTTTCATGTGGTGACCTCATCCTGACAATATGAGTTGAAATAATAGATCATTATACATCAGTCTGACACTGAAGTTTGTGTTTTTAATATCTTCAGCTTTGCTAACCCAGCCTGAGTCAATGTGCATTGTGTGCCCCCTCCCCCCATGCATTTTTGAGCTAACAAGTGCTCATGGCTGACAGCTAAACTGCAGTGTTTTCTGTATGATGCCAAATGTACACACAAGGATTCCCAAGGGAAACAAGTGGAGGTCAAAGGGTCTACTCTGCTCATGGGGTTCATGTTGAAGAGCCAGGGTTTTTAATAGGGTAATAGTTACCACATCTGTTAATAACTATTTAAGCATTGGATATATAAAAAAATTAAATCTTAGGTGGACTTACAAATGCTCTCTGTATCAGCTCAGGTCATTCACATAACAACGTAAAATGTATTTGTAGTTTATGTTGACTGTTTTCCCACTTGGAGATGACATTTTGTTATCAGTGTCATCAGTGTTGGCCTTCTCAGTAATCTGAAGACAACTACCAGCATTGCTGTGGGCTGATTTACCCCAAACCTCACTGTGAAATTTGGAAACCTTTTTGAAAACAAATAATTGGAACAACTGCTATGCACCACACAGTCAGTGTTCCGCTTTCCATAAGCATCAGGCAGCACCGTTTCCTTGGGGGTGCGCTGACTTTCTCACTCCTTGTGGTATAGTTCTGTCCACCTGTTCAGAAGCACCCCAGAGCAACCAGCAGCTAGTTAGATGTCCTACTGTTACTGTTTGTGACTGCCAGCATCTCAGTCAAGAAGAGCTGAATTATAACCAATGCAAGTGACAGTTGAGGCCATGCTTTATTACTTTATAGACTTACATTACCTGTAACTCAAGGATGGCACTAAGAAAAGACATGAATGATACTTTTTAATTACTCAGCAAGCATGCTTGGGGACCCCCATGGGCATTTATTTTGTCTGCAGCTACCTTACACTCTGATACCATAAACTGTGCCCCTCCCCCACTTTGCTTAACCCTTTCTTTGCCTCTTAACGAGTTTCTCAGATGGGAGAACTTGCCAGTAGCATTGAGGTATATATCACAAGGAAGGAAGCTTCTTATACATTACGTTCCTCAAGCGCGGCTTTAAAGCTGATCTCATGGAATTGAACTTAAAAACAACTCTTAGATTTCTCTGAGGACCCTCCCCCCCCTTATTTATTTTCTTCTGAGACCACTTCTTTTTTTTTTTTTTTTTTTTTTTTTGGTTTTTCGAGACAGGGTTTCTCTGTGTAGTTTTGCACCTTTCCTGGAACTCGCTCTGTAGCCCAGGCTGGCCTCGAACTCACAGAGATCCGCTTGGCTCTCCCTCCCGAGTGCTGGGATTAAAGGCGTGCGCCACCACCGCCAGGCCTGAGACCACTTCTAATAGATAACTATCAGCATTTAGAAGCCTCTGGTTAACCAGCCTATTAGCTCTTCAGGCTCTCCACAGCACTTGAGAGTTGGATCTTCCTGTCTTCATAGTACTGTTTTGTGTTTTGTTCTTTTACATATTTGTTTTCTACTCACTGGAAATACAGACAGTAATTAGGCAAATGAACCTGTGTTCTATAATCAGCTTAACTCCCTTACATGTCACTTATTTCCAAGCAATGTCCCACGTTGAGCTGTGGACACTCATTAATGCTGATTATTTCACTAACGGCCTGTATATACAGTTTATTCTTTGCTTTGTACAAGGATGTTAATTATCCTGTTGTCTGTGAGGATTAGGAAATGGTATGTTTGTCATGCATGTTGTAAAGACTTATCTTTTTATCTACTGGTCTTCGACTACATTCTTACTAACAATGTAGAGAAAACTCTCAAAATACAATATATTCAAACGAGTTGTCTGTCTCAAACAAGGGTAATTTAGAAATAAATCATTAAATGATACAAGTTTAAGAAAACAGCTGGAATAAAAAAAATCATGTGACAGATGATCCTACTTGATATTTATTTGGCTTTGAAGAATTACTAGTCAAACACTGGAATGCTAGTTCCTGAGTGTCCAGCTGCTGGCTTCTGAGTGTCCAGCTGCTGGCTCCTGAGTGTCCAGCTGTGAGTCTTGGAAGGCAGAGATAGGGACAAGAGCTTCCACTGATAGACAGTCTTCTTTCTCATTCTGGTTTGTAGATCAAATCGTGAGATCCCAGAATGTTATTTTTGTTACTTGAAACCAAATGAAATGTAGAGGCAACTATTTTGCAGAGCTTACTATGGAGAAGCATATTGCCTACAGCAGCAGATGGGGAGGCAGAACCAATGAAGTGACATGCAGTAGGACAGTTAGGGTACCCACTGTCATCCCTATCACAGGGGCCCACTTACGTTGTGACACTGTCACTGAAGAACTGCCCTCTACCTGCCTTCCAGAAGCACTGCCTTCCTGTGCAAAAAACAGGGACACCTGGAAGCCAGTTTAGAGCAGTTAGGGAAATCACTTGTGCTACCCTAGCATGACAGGTATTAAACATTTTTTTTTCTAGGTCAGATTCTCCTTGCCGGGCATGTATCACTCTATAGTATTAATTTACTTTTAAAATGGCAAAAGAAATCTTCGTGTATGAGTCATCATTATCAATATTTTATGAAATTCCTGTGTCCCTAGTAAAGGCAAAGTCCAAATGGTGGTACTCCGATTTTAATATTGGTTAACCTTATCCCCCTTACAGGTTGGGCTTGAACCAGCAATGTAGCTGAGAATGGCCTTGAACTCCTGAGTTTCCTGAGGACAGGGACTCTCAATAAACTACCTTGTGACTGGAAAAGTGGTAGTCTACAAATACATTGTTTTAATTACGTGGAGTCTTGTCTTTGGCATTGTTTTCATCAAAACTCTTCTGTGAGAATTCTCAGGAAAGCCTAGCCATGCATTATGTTGTCATCATATGACAAATGATGGATGTTTTCTCAGTGCTCTGAAGCTTTATCAAATGGTCTGTCATACCATTTGTATTATTTTGTGATGTAGGGCTTGTTCAACATTACTAAATCTAGAAATTTATTTTTAGATATTTATTTGTGGGGGGGGTGCACACAGAGACTGGAAGAAGGCATTGGATCTCTTGTAGCTGGAGTACAAGCATTTGTGAACTACCCAACATGGATGCTGGGAACCAAGCTCTGGTCCTCTGGGAGAACAGGACACACTCTTAACTGCTGGGCCATCTCCCCAGCCCCTAGAGAATTTATGTTAGTTGATAGAAGGTATGTCTATCCCTGTTGGTAGATTCTGCTGACCTGTGTACTCTTCCTTAGGAGTTTTCTCTGGTTTTCCTACTGCAGGGTACATCTAGGTTAGCTTTATTTTATTTTATTTTTTTAAACAGGGTGAAGTAATTTTAACATTTTTTTTTACATTGAAATATGATGGAATGACAGGGTGGTGAAGGGCAGAATAACAGCAGTATAAACAAAAAGATTCACTATCTCATGTAGGAGGGGTAAGAATTGTTTTATGAAATTTGTTTCAGTGATATATTAGTCATCTTTGTGTTGCTATGACAAAATGCCTGAGTGAAACCTTTACATTGAGGAAAGATTTACTTTAGTTCACAGTTTTAGACCTGTTGCTTTTGGACCGTGGCCAGGAAGCACATCATAGTGGGAATACATGGTGGAGCTGAACTGCTTACTTCTTGGCAGCCTGGAAATGGAAAGAGGAAAGGGCCAAGGATAAGATATACGATTAGGGCTGGAGAGGTGGCCCAGTAGTTAAGAGTACTGACTGCTCTTTCAAGGGACTTGGGTTCAATTCCCAGCACCCACGTGGCTACTCACAACCATTTTTTAACTCCAGGATCCAGCACCCTCTCCTGGCCACTGTGGGTACCAGGTATGAATGTGGTTCACAGACAAACATGCATATAAAAGAGCCATACACAAAATTAAATATACATACATACATATCCTTCCAGAGCATGCCCTCAGTAGCCTGTTTCCTCCAAATACTCCCTACCTCGTTTTTTGTTTTTTTTTTTTTAATGGTTTTTCAAGACAGTTTCTTTGTGTAGCCTTGGCTGTCCTAGAACTTGCTCTGTAAACAAGACAGGCCTTGAACTCACAGAGATCTGCCTGCCTCTAACTCCAGAGTGCTGGGATTAAAAGTGTGTGCCACCACTGCTTTTAGGACCTACCCCTTAAAGGTTTCCATCACCTTCCCGTAGCCCATGAAGCTAAGAGTCCAGCAATTAATCTCTTGATAAGGTTAGAGTCTTCACAATCCAATCACCTCCCAAAGTCCACCTCCAGATACTGTTGCACTCAGATACTGTTGAACACATGAGTTTTGGGGGAAACGTTTGAAATCCATACCATAACAGACTCCGTATATGTATCAAAAAAAACACCAACAAAAAAAGTTGTTGTGGTGATCCAAATACTGGAGTTGTTCTTTAGAGTGATTGAATTAATCTGTGTTCCTTTTAGCCTTATACAAGTATGCCTTTGTCTCCACTATCACTGGGCACTGTTCCGGATTAATTTCTGTGGGTCTAGTGGAAAAGGCTGAACTCACTGTGTTTGTGTTCCCATGATGATTCTGTGATGAAGTTGAGCAGCTTTCAGTGCGATTGCTGACTTGTGTGATTAGCCCGTACCCTGTCCCTTTAGTCCTTGGCAGCGGTCAGTTCTGTATGCTGCGACCGTCTGTCTTCTCCCATGCTGTGCAATATCTTACACTTTTTCACAGATCTCCTACTCTGTGGCCTATGCCATCATGTCTTTTTTAAGAAAGCTCTTGCTGAGTGAGAAGCATATGCCTATTAACATAGCATTGGGGAGGTTGATTCAGAAGGATTCCAAATTTGAAGGCAACCTGAGCTATACAGAAGAACCCTATCTCAATAACAAATGAAGAAGCAGAAGGAAATCTTCCTGTACTAGAGAAGTGGGAAGTTTGCCTTTCTTATATTTCATGTGCCTTCTCTTTTGTTGAAGAGTACAGTCAGACTTTATTTGGTGCCTGGGCATGGTGGTACATGTACGCAGGAGGCAGAGGCAGGTGGATCTAGAGTTCCATCTACAGAGTGGATTCCAGGTCAGTCAGGGCTACATAGTAAGGCCCTGGCTCCAAAACCAAACTCCCAAACCAACTTTCTTTAATATATATTTTTGCATATGTTTCATTGCTCACACTGTTAAAATCTTGTCTTGAAACTTATAAAAAATATTCGAAAGTTGCATCTTAAGTTTTTAATATTTTATATTTGAGTACCTCTACTGCTGATTTTTTATTATTAAAAATAATAGGAAATTAAAAAATAAAAGGAAAAAAGATTTTCCTTTAATAAATAATGGATTGTTAACTTTGGAAAATTGTTGTTCGAATCTTAGATGACCTTTTAATAAAAAAACCCGGTACCAGATATTGGGATAAAAACTGAAAGATCAGAGAAGCAGAGCAACCACAGCCACCACCGATTACCTCACCAACTCCTCAGCCGATCCTGTTTCCATGAATTCTCTGACTGAAATCCTCTGAGTCCTCACCCGAAAGGATCTCAGCTGAACTGCCTTAGTTCCTGTTTCCTCACACCTTAATATACCTTTCTCCACCCTGCTGTCACTTCCTGGGATTAAAGGCGTGTGTGCTTCCCAGTGCTGGGATTGAAGGTGTGCCACCACTGCCGGCTCTGTTTCCAGTGTGGCCTTGAGCTCACAGAGATCCAGATGATCCTATCCAAGTGATAGGATTAAGGGTGTGTGCCCCCCACCCCATGTCTAATCTAGTGACTGGCTCTGCCCTCTGATCCCTAGATAAGTTTATTAGGGTACACAATATATCGCCACAGAAAATAGAATATTCTCTTTTTTAAATTTCTCTAATAGAATTTATTTGTGTGTTTATATTTTCAGTCCTGTGAACTTTTCTAGAAGACAGCTTTACAAGGATCTAGAAGGACCAAATTCGGGGCTCCAGAACTCTCCAGCAACCAGGTACAGATGTTTATGGAAGGAGTGCTCCTAGCCATTGTATATAGAGTAAAAGTCTTTGAGATGGGCATAGGAAAACTTGATGATCCTTTCATCGGAGCAGGCAAATCAACTGTGGACTGTGATGTCATTATTTACAAGGTTCACGCTCGAGAACAACATTACAAAGAAACTGCAAAACAAATCTCAAAATGTTTTTGGTAATTTTGAATTTGGGTTAGGCACATTCATGGCTGCCCTCTGCCTCATGCTTGCGGCTGATGGGGGGCAGGTTGGACGTGCCTGCTTAGAGGGTCCAAGAGCAGCAGCTTTGGAAGCACGCCTCAGTTTCATTACAAGCCCCGATCTGACTGATGGTTCCATGGCCAGATTGCTGAAGCATCCTAAAATGGAGGCTGTGATTATGCCTCATTTTTATTATTACTCATCTGGATATTGCAAAAATGAAATGAGGTGCTGACCCACACTGTAAATGTCAGTGTTTCACACCATGAATGTGGTTTACAACGCTGATAATAATAGCATAAAAATCGTGCGGGTGACAGGTTGAGACAGCTCTAACTGCCACACACCGTACCCCAAGTGGTAGAAACTGGAGAAATCAACTTTCTCTGTCACATGTGCCACTTTGACATGGTGGAAAACAAGTTTGTTTTTTTTTTTTTTAAACAAAACTAGGAGATGTGTTTACATTATTTCATTATTAGTAATTAGTCTTGACATTATTTTTGAATTTTGACTAACACTGAATAACATGAAATTATGTTAATATTACAGTCAATTCTAATTGGCTCTTATAACTATTTCCTCTTTGAATGTGTAGTTTCCATATGCTATGCATACAGTTACGGTTTAACCTGACCAGTTCAATAAACAGAGTGGACTCTTTTTATCAAGGTTTTTTAAGAAATTGATTACACTTACAGTGATCAAAGAAAGATACTGAAAGGAGTCATTTTTTTTTCTAATTAAAAATACTCAGGATTCCTAATCACTGATCTTAGCACATATGAGTGACCCCCCACTGCTAGCCATGGGAGACCTAAGGGGTGGTGAGGGCGGTTATCTCTGTGTTTGCTCCTTTTTCTTCTCCCCATCCCCTCCTCCCCGCCTTTGAATTCTTTTCCTCTGTTCTTCTCTTCCTCATCATTCTCTCTCTTGTCTCTTCTTTCTGTTTCTGTGACGCTGGCATTGAACTGGAACCTCTACGTGCTAACCCAGTGCACTCTCATAGAGCTGTGCCCCTAAGCCCAACTGTCTCTTCTTCTTCTAGTAAATTTAGGGTTAAATGTGCGCAAAGTGTTTTCCAGTTAGGGTGATGCTGAGGGCCCCCTTAAATCCTTAGGCTAGGGATTGTAGGTCAGTGGTAGGATACTCGCTCTGTGTCGGCAAGATCCCAGATTTGATCCCCAGCAAGGGGGTGTGGGAGGGTACCTCAGTGGGCATGCCAGCTCCCAATATCTGGTTCTATTTCCCAGTACTCGGAACATTTACATTACGTTCTATTCTGAGTAATACATGGTTATAGTAACAAGCAGATTGTGATCTCCTCTCTGAAAGAGCTTGCCAATCAATAGAGAGAAGTCACCCAAGAATAATTGACGTGAGGAAGACTCTGTGCATTCTTGAGGTTGCAAAGAGAAGTGCTGTGGAACTACAGAGGGCCCAGCCTGTGTGAAGACCAGTCAGGAGACACAACAGTAGATTAGGATTTCAGTAGATATGCCAAAGTGCTGTAATGTGTGATGTTGATTAAATATGGCAACATGTTTTTCCAGATCAAATCATGTAAATTTACAAGATAAAAACTTGAAGTGATCGCTTTTAGTTTTGATTTTGAGTAGGCAAATAGTTTAACCCTGAATTTCATGTCCAGTTCCTAAGTGAGCTTTTAAATATAAGCATGTCTTTTTAAAATTGAAACATTAGAAATAATATTTACTATTCATTGTCCTCATTTTAAATTCAGATTTTCTGAATGCATTATTCTCTATAAGACCTACTTACAATTGGGGAAAAAAATTGAGGAAAATTTCATCAAGAACGTATAAAACATTGATAAGGGCCATGGTGACATTTGGCCCAGTTTGATTTTTTGTTTTGTTTTGTTTTTCAGCACAGAGTTTCACTGTGTAAACAGCCTTGGCTGCCCTGGAACTCGCTCTGTAGAACAGGCTGGCCTCGAACTCACAGAGAAGCGCCTGCCTCTGCCTCCTGAGTGCTGGGATGGAAGGCATGCAGTCCCATTGCCTGGCTTGATGTGTGTGTGTGTGTGTGTGTGTGTGTGTGTGTGTGTGTGTGTGTGTGTATGTATGTGTGTATGTGTATGTGTATGTTCTGAGAGAGGGTTTCTCTGTGTAGCCCTAGCTGTCCTGGAAGTCACTCTGTAGACCAGGCTGGGCTCTGTTTCCCAAGTGCTAGGATTAAAGGCATGTGCCATTTTTAGTCTGTCTTTTTCCAGTTCTAGTTCTATTGCAGCAAATACCAGGTGAAACTGTAATAAAAAGCTCGCAATGCGCATTGCATTTAAGTAATTGGAGCAAACCTAATAAATCAGACAACAATAAATGTTACTAAATACAGTTTTATTAAGTTGGCTTTTGGAGGGACACACTGCTTTGTTTATATTGTTTTTAGCTCTGGGCTAGCTAGTGTGTAATGGCTGAACCATAGTGAATATCCCGCACGTCTTCCATAGGGCTGCCCCTGCTGTCCCTTGGATGTGACAGCAGGAAGTTGCTAAGGAAAGAATATTCAGTGATCTTGTTCCATACTTGATGGCTTTTGTTTCAGACTTTTTTGTTGTTGCTAAAGTCCAGGACAACAAAGCTGCATTCATTCATTCATTCATCTATTTGTTCATTCATTTTATTCATCTGTTTCATTCATTTCTCCTTTGTTTTTTCCAGCTTAGCAGATCATACATCCTTCAGGAGCTGAGAATTCATAAGTCTGGTCTTCACCGTGGTGATTGGAACTTTCCAGTCTCAGAAAAGTTGGCCAAGGTCTAGAATTTGTTTTTCCCAATCAAAGCAAAGTCATCTGTGAGATGGAAGTTTCTGCTAATTTCCTTTTAGATAGAAGGACCTCTGTTCTGCGATGACCGTCCCAGACTTCAAGAGGATGGTTCTCTTAAGAGTTCCTGAACATTGAAAACTACTTGTAGGGCTTAGAGCTGTTGACTCCCATGCTAAAGGCTTAGTTCCTCTGTCACCCACTCACCATCTGGGGACTTCTTTCCCTGTTAATTAGGAGTAAAGTCATTTTGTTCGTTTGGTACTAGGTCTTGCTTTGTTGCCTAGGCTTCTTTCTAATTCCTTAGCCTCCCAAATGCTGGGAATACAGGCCCCTGCTTACTAAAGCAGTTTTCTGTGTCCCTTCATCTGGCATGGGCTCCTGATTTTACCACATACTTTTTCCCTAGGGACTGCACAGGACTGAGTCCATATGGAAGAAGAACTGCCTGGTTTCTGTGGAGAAAGTGGCCAGGTTAGAAAAAAAGCATGCCTTATAGTGTATTTTTTTGCATGAACCATATCTGTTGTTCACATGATTAGAAGAGCAATGAGATCATCTAAGTCTTCCTTGGAGAGGCTGCAGTGTGGTACCTGACATACCAATAATAATTGATTGGGGGATATAGGATGTGGACAGGGCCAGCAAGGAACAGATGCTACCTGGGGGTTGAGGAAGGGCTCCCTAGGATGGTGGCATTTTAACTTGGTAAGGAATACAGACTTCTGCTCACAGATGATGACCTGTAAAAGGCTTTGTTTAAATAATGTTTATTCCTTTCCCAAATATTGAAAAACACTGAAAAAAAATAGTCATAGAAGATATGCTTCCAACTCATCGTGCTCTTTTATTTTCCATCACATCTGAACATTACAGTCAACCAGCTTAAGTCTATACAGTATCCAATGAATATTGTTTCCCATGCAGTATCCAGTGGGATACTGTTTCCCATCCAGGATCCAGTGGATATTGTTTCTCATCCAGGATCCAGTGGATATTGTTTCCCATCCAGGATCCAGTGGATATTGTTTCCCATCCAGTATCCAGTGGATATTGTTTTTTCAACCAGTATCCAGTGAATATTATTCCCCCATCCTGTATCCAGTGGATATTGTTTCATATCTTTCAGCCTGCCTGTTGATTGCTATCTTGTGTCATGTTAAATTTACAAAGTATCTGCTCATCTCCATAAAACAGTTTAATATTGACTGTTACTTTCTTTTGTCTTCTTTCTACTTTAGGAAATAAAAAAGGTAAAATTCAATAAATTATAATAATTATACACAAAACAGCCAAACTTGAAATTTTACCACATGCTGACACGAATATTTGTGTGTGAACCCTTGCAGGAATTTGTAAAAGTAGCTTAAAAACTAATGATAGAGCCAAGAGACTTATAAAATATAGTAGAGGACTCTCTGGAGAGATGGCTCAACAATCATGAGTGCTTGTTGGTCTTGCCGAGGACCAGAGTTTGATTCGCGTGTGCGCACACGTGTACACACACAAAAGGTGTTAATAAAAAAATTCCTAATTCCTCCTGGGAACAGATTTCATAAAGTTAAATAAATGAATTCACATAGTCAGCAGTGAATTTACCTTATTACGTATAAAATGTTGCAGCTAGGAAATCCTCAACAAGTAAAGTGTTGCATTTTTTTAGACATTGTTTTACTAAACATGCCCAACATGTCGCTTTGATTTTCCTATATAGGCTGTATTTTAACGGAATTGTAACAGCTTGCCAGTTTGCTGTGGTCATGTGCAGTGTGGTCACTCAGTGGATTTCTCAGTGGATACAGCGTCTGTTTGTTCCAGACCACACAATGAGACTAACAGGATGTGTCTTAGTCTCTAATTCATGGCAGGTGCATTTCCTGTATTATGTTTTCCTTGATAGAGTATTAACATCTCATTACATTTTGCAAAGAGATGCCAGCTACTGGTAGGGGTGGTGGATAGGATGTGACTGGAGAAGTACAGGAACAGCTCAGGACGTGGTTGTTTAGTCAGGCGGCTACCTGGATCACCCTGGAACTGAATTTAACAGACACCATCTTAATGGTGACGATTGCAAGGCTCTCTATTTCCTTGAAGAGTTTAGTTCTCCACATTTTCTTGCTCATGACCAGTTGTCCTCTTTACGGTTTCTGTTTTGTGAAACAACATTATGACCGTAAGCAACTTAGGGAGAAGAGGGTTTGTTTTGGCTTGCACTTCCACATCACAGACCATCGCTGGGAAAGCAAGGGCAGGAACGCAGTGCAAGAACTTGAAGGCAGGAGCTGATGCAGAGGCCATGAAGCGGTGCTGCTTACTGGCTTGCTCCTGACTTGCCCAGTTTGTTTTCTTATATACCCCAGGACCTCCTGCCCAGCAGTGGCACCACCTACAATAGGCTGGGACCTCCCACATCAGTCATAAGACGTGCTCACAAGCCAATCCTATGGAGACATTTTCTTGATTTAAGATTTCCTCTTCACAGATGACCCTACCTATTGTGTCAAGTTGATATAAAAACTAGCCAGCACACAAGCTCTTCAGTTAATCCCTCACCTGACAGTGGGCATAGAGCAGGTAGAAGACATTTCTAGCACACAGAATGGTTGACAGATGATCAAGGCTCCTACATGTGCTGTGCAGTACATCTTTGTACATTGTTTCTTGAGTGTCCTGGAACAAAATGCTATAATTCCATGAAACTACTATTAAATATTTTCTCCAAAATGTATTTGCATTTATAAATTAAGCTATCAGTTCCCTATGTAATAGTTTTCTCACAGACTTAAATAATACACTTGTGATGACTGTTGCCAAGCATCTAGTTGTCTGACAGATTTGAAAAGCAATATATCCCCTTGTCTGGTGTACGCAGGCTGTTTGTGGCTACTTCCCATTAGATTGTGACCTCCAAGGAGGGCATGGCATTGTCTTATTTTTGTCTTTAATTCAGTAATTCTACCATAGCTGATATTCTCCTGCTCAGCAGCATCTCATAATAAATATAGGACTGCAGATTGCATAAACCTCATTCACACTTTGGAATCCCATTGGTCAGAATCATGGGCTGGGTACTGTGTGCAACTGTACAGGTGGACCAAGGGAAAATGTTCAAGCTTTTGATTTGTACAGAAGTGTTTAGGAACTGGTTGGAATTTACCATTCAATTCTCAGTATTCATGAAACTACTTGATATTGTAGCAAAGGACAGGATCAAATCCAAAAACATGCTTGAAAGGAGAAACAGCTGAGGTAGTAAGTAAGCAGTCATTGTATCTTGGCAGTGCAGGCCGAGCAGCCATTAAGGGCTCTGTGAGTGTGCTGCACAGACTTGAGGCCCCCAGCACTGTGCCTTCTTAGGGGAACTACATCACTCAGGTGATGTGGGCACATGGGCCTCTGTCTGTTCTCACCTACCTTGAAGGGACTGATCTTGTGGGATTATGTGGCGAAATCTATGGTCTGATAATGTGAAGACTAGAGATAATATAGAAAAACTGTAGAAGACCATTAATAACATCTCCTTTAGATTCTTTATGCCACATTTCAAACTTTATTCTTCTTAAAATTTACAGAAGGAAAAAAATAAAGCAGAGCTTTCCTTCATGGTATGAGGAGATAATATAGAAAAACTGTAGAAGACCATTAATAACATCTCCTTTAGATTCTTTATGCCACATTTCAAACTTTATTCTTCTTAAAATTTACAGAAGGAAAAAAATAAAGCAGAGATTCCTTCATGGTATGAGGAGGTAGGTAATTTAAAACAGATGCTTAGACTAAAATCTCATATCACAGTTCTATGTCCAGCTTTGACAGTAAACAAAGTGTCTCTAAGAAAGAATTCTCTTTTACCTAAAAACTCTGATTTCCAAATTAATACAACACTACCATATAAAGTCTTCAGTTTCCTGAAATAGCCACAATGAAAGTAGGGACCTGTTCTATACATCCATACAATTGCAGCTTCTTGTAGATGTGAGATGTCAGGTTAGTTGGTTTTTCAAGACAGGGTTTCTCTGTGTAGCCTTGGCTGTCCTGGAACTCGCTCTGTAGACCAGGCTAGCCTTGAGTTCAGGGATCCACCTGCCTCTGCCTCCCAAGTGCTGGAATCAAAGGCCTGTACCACCACCACCTGGCCCTTAAGACAGTTTTAATCAGAATTTACTGTATACTTGCCATCATTCACAACAGCAATGGTGTGGTGATGAAGGAGGCTGCCCCTGGTTTTTTGCTCAAGACTGTGCTAGACAGTCTGTAAAAGCCCCAGAGTACCACAGTAATGAGGGTGGGTGCCTGCAGGCCAGCCCAGACAGGCTCGCTGGCCTCCAAGGTGGAGGGATAAATGCTTTCTCAGATTGGAAACAAGCAAGTGGCTGGCCTCTCAGATCTTCTTAGTAAGGTTTGTTTAACAGCTAGTGAGAAAGAGCTCAGAAAATCTTTACTCTTTTAAATTAAATATGAGTTTGGTGTTTTTTTCTGGAAAATACTTAAAAATATCATTCGATGGAATAAGGGCTGTTATATTTACAAAATATATGCATATTTTTAAAATTCAAAACTTAAATGAAGGAACTCTGGCCATCTCAAGTGAGGCAGACATGGCTCTGGCAGGCCTTGCCCTTCTCCCCCATTCCCGCTGCCTTGCTAAACCATTAGATTACATCCCTAAAGCTGGCCACCAAGGTCTGTTCCTTTATTTGGCAATCTCCTCTCCTCCTGAGGCTGACTGCTTAGGTCCAGCTAATCAAAGTATTGAAGTCCAGCAATCAAAAGCCCCCTTTGGTTCACCTAATTAACATACCCAACCAAAACATTCCACAGTATCCTAGCCCGTCCTGACACAGGCCTTCCCATTTTCTCTTCTTAAAAATGACACCTGCAGGGTCATTTGCTGCTGTTTTTCTGCCTGAGTCAGAAAGCAGCCACTTTTTTTTTTTTTTTTTTTTTTTTTTTTGGTTTTTCGAGACAGGGTTTCTCTGAGTAGCTTTGCACCTTTCCTGGAACTCACTTGGTAGCCCAGGCTGGCCTCGAACTCACAGAGATCCACCTGCCTCTGCCTCCCGAGTGCTGGGATTAAAGGCGTGCACCACCACCGCCCGGCAGAAAGCAGCCACTTTAACTTTGCCTCCCCGCTTAATAAAAGATGTCTCTGTGAAAACAGGCATTTGGGTGTGGTTTGTGCCTAACCCAGGGTCCAGGAGGGAACACCCGCTGTTTGAGGGTCTCCTTCATTAATTGAGTAAGTAAGTGTCTCCATTTTACAGATAAATAACAACTGTCTTTGAAGACCACTTTGGAGAGTGCACACGATCATGAAGTTATCTTGCACTGTTGAGGTTTTCATGGCCCGCCAAGATTATGTGCCTAAGTCCAAAACCAAGACCTCAGAGTGCAATCAGTTCATATGGAGACTAGGTCATTGAAGAAGTAATTAGCTTAGTTAAGATGAGTCATTAAAGCTAGCCCTAATCCAGTCTGACTTATGTGTTTATTAGAAGGGGAATATTGGACACAGGTCCACATCTGCAGGCAGTGCAGACAGACAGAGGGAAGAGAGCCCTCTGCAAGCCAAGAAGGGGAGCCTGGACTAGATCTTTCCCTGACAGCTCTTGGAAGGCAAGCTAGCTGACACCTTGACTTGCGACTTTTGAGTCTCCGAAAGTGTTAATACACGTAGTTGTTTCTGCCAGCTAGCTGTGGCTGTCAGTGCTAATGAGCACGTAAGCTACCTAGATGGTTCTCCATGCTATGGTTGGTTTGAGTGTCAACTTGTCACATGTTAGAATCACTTGAGTAGGAAGCCTCACCTGAAGAAGCATCCTGATGGCCTTGATTGATGTGGGAAGGCCCACCCTGATAGTGGGTGGCATCTACAGGTAGCAGACTAGATAAAGAGCTATTTCCCTTCATGCTCCTTGGCTTTCCCTCTGCCACCAAGTTGATTTGTCCCGCCGCCGCTGCTGAGTCCTCTGAGAAGAACCAGGGTTTCCAGGCTTCCGTTATGGACTAGGGACCACTGGTTCTCCAGGAACTTCTTGTGCTTCCAGTGTCTGATTGGGACTACTGAGTCCACACCTTGTGGACTGAATAACTACTGGTTTTTGCCTCCCAGTGAGTGTTTGGGAAGCTGAACATGTGGTCCATGAGGAGGTGCACTGCACCAGGAGAACCTAATGAGCTTGATAATGTATTCAAGCAGAAGTCTGGAGAGTGTGTGTGGCAGTGGACTTTAAGGGTGTGGGATAATGGTAGGAGGAACAGAGAATGAATCAAGCTGAGTTTGTCAATATGAGCCCATTGAACAGAGATTCTCGGTTTACTATTGAACCTTGCACAGGTTTTTTTTAAAAAGGTACCAAGGGTCTATTTGATTGGTTAGTTGAACTATTTGGGGAAAGGTGGTCTACTGAGAATGGGACTGATATTCTTGTTTTATTGTTAATAAAGGAATTTTACGGTGTAGGGAAACTGGATTCCCTGCTTAAAACCTAATCCTCCACAATGTGCGGGCCCAGAAGACATGCCCTTCACTAATACTGTAAGATGCAAAAGTGTGGGAGGGATGCCAGCACTTTTGAAGAGCTTTGTTGTCACCCTTTTCCTTGGGCCAGACCTTGGAGTGGGAGATGCTGCTGCTCAGTTGGATGCATTAAATATGATGCACTTAATGGGTCCCAGAGCAGCAGGGGCCAGGAGGCAGCAAAACATCACCAAAGGCAAGATGAACATGCTTACCCCCATAGTGTGCATCATAGGCAAAGCAATGTCCACAATGGCCTGACCCATAATGGGCAGCACAGGGAAAGAGATTTTTATGATGGTGTGATCCTTGCATTGGATTTTTGGGACTGGCAAATCAATAATGGTGTTTCCTGGGATGAAATAGATGAGTTTGTTTTTGTCTGATCTATACATGCATAAGACTCTAGAACAAAGGAAAGAATTGCTACATTTGATTGTAGTAATGGGGATCCATGGCCCATCAGTCAGTTTTTGGAGGAGCCAGTTTACAGACCCAGAACCCCTTGAATGAAGGGAAGGCCAGGTCTCCCTGAGGGACAACCTTGCTACAAGACCTAAGAACTATACTGTTAGCCAGACTGCATATGTGTTACACTGTTAGCTAATCTCCCATCCTTCCCCCGAGAGAAACCCACATCTGTTTGCTAGAGGAACCGTACATAGGGACAGCAGATGTAGTGGCCACCCTCCTTCCTCCAGCCTGTACTTGCTGAACCAGCCTGTTCCTGCAGCCACGTGCAAACCATAGCTACTATTTAATGTGTTGCTAACATTCAGCTGGCCAAGGTCCAGGCTTGGATGCGTTGGGTGTCTTTGAGATCTCATCTTGCCCAGGCCACCGGTACCCATGGGCTCTCAGCAACAGATAGCAGCAGATGTGGGTTATTCCTCTTGAAGCCAGTTTACCCTGCAGAAACAAGAGTCAAGAACTGTTTCTGTTTGTTTTAATTGGTTGTCTCAGTACATAAGTCTTGTTCCTTTCAGCCAGTACAGGCTACCCTGTCATCATTGAAGATGTTAGATGTGGGAAAGTGGCCAATTTTTTCCCTTTGTTCTGAGGAAGAACTGCAGTCAATCCGTCAGGCTTGTGTCTTCGGCAGTGCTGGTAATGAAGTTTTATACACTACAGTCAACGATGAGGTAACTTTGAAGAAAAAATTCAACCACTGTATTTTTTTTAGCAATACAATTCTTTTTTATTAGTAGTTTTTCTTTTTGAGGGAAATTTCCTTTCCTTTTCATTTCCTTTCATTTCCTTTCTTTTAACAGTACCTGTAAAAAAAATTAGTATACTATTCTGAGATATGTATGTGTATGTGTATGTGTGTGCATATATATATAAATATACACACACACACACATACATATGGATTTTGGAATGTTAGATTGTCAAAACATCAACTGCATCACATTAAGTCACTGAAGGCAAGGTAGACTAAACAAGGATAGAATTTCGTAACTAAAAATATTCATAGCAGCAACTTTTGAAAGATGATTTTATTAAAGTCATTGCACTTGGTCATTTTATTGCTACAGCACAAGGCCATTCAACTGTAACACTTCTCAATTCTGATTGTAAAGATTGTCTCATTCTGCTCATACATTTCAAGTTTCAATGCAAGCCTAAAACATTCATCAAAAAACGTACAGCGCACTTGGAACATTTTTCTTGTCTGTGATCACAGTAAGGAGTGTTAAAAAAAAATGTCGTCTGTTAAACCAGGCCATTCTCTCTTTGCATCTTCAGACTTTTCAGTGAAATCCTGCACAGTTCTTTAGAGGTAACAGCTTTTTAATAAGAAATAGGCGTAGTGGTCATAAACACACCAAAATAACATTGAAATTCCATTAGAAACTTAGTAGTATTGTGTTTCAAAGAACAGCAAAACTGAACTATACATCCACTAGTACTTTGGCAATGACAGATTCAATGCTGTCTTTTATACTAATATGTGGGGAGAAGTTACATCAAAATAGAAGTTACTATTACTATTATTTTGTGACATTAGGAATAAGTAAAAGTTCCCATATCAAGGGCAAATACTGGCAAATTACTACTTTAAAGGAATCATTTTTCCCTTTAAATAAGTTCAGGCTTGCTTGCTTTTTCTGAATTTTGTTAAAGGCAGAAGAACAGACATACAGAAGAAAAAAAAAAGCCAGTATGACTTCTCCATTCTGACTGAGAAGGCAAAAGCATGTACTGCAGCACCCACTGCCGTTCTGACTGAAAGAATTAGTGCAAAATACCCACCACCACCACCGTCGAAGAGTGTTTCCTTTCTTGTGGACATAGGGTCCCTATGCAGCACAGGCTGGTCTCAAACTCATGATTTTCCTTCCTTAGTCTCCAAGCTACAGGCATATTGTCACCATACACGACTCCAATAAACCTTTTTAATAGTTTACAAGTATTAAAATATATGTATTGCCAGGGCCAAGATCAATGATACATAATAGTTCAGAAAGGAACCAAATTGCACATGAATATACGTTTAATATACAATAAGTGTTGTGCTTCTATTTTCCTTAATCATGTTTACATCACATGAATTCAGTTTTCTGTTATCTGTTTTTCTATTAGAATTATTTTCTCATTTTTTTTACATTTTAATTGGCATCTATGAGCTATAGATTTGTCCAGAAAGCATACATTAGTCACTCGCCTACTTCAACCACTGTATTGTTAGTAATGGGTTTGTAAGTACCTTGTGTGTGTGTGCGTGTGTGGGAGGAGGATAAAGAAATGAAACCTTTAACAGAAGTATGGAAAAGCAATTTGTTTTGTTTCGAGATAAGCTTTCTCTCTGTGGTCCTGGCTGTCCTGGAACTTGCTTTGTAGACCAGACTGGCTTCAAACTCAGAGAGATCTGCTTGCCTCTGCCTCCCAAATGCTGGGATTAAAGGCGTGCACCCCCACCACTTGGCTGAAAAGCCAACTTTTATGTATTCTGTAACAAGACAGTTTCCTTTAGGAAGGTTGCTTGAGTTAGCTTACAGACTTTTCAGAAATTGCCTCCTTGAACTGAGTGTTTTGTCCACAGATTTTTGTGCTCGGCACAAACTGCAGTGGCTGTCTGGGGGTAGGTGACGTTCAGAGCACCATTGAGCCTCGGAGACTGGATTCTTTAACTGGCAAAAAGATAGCCAGCCTCGGCTATGGCAGTGGCCCACACATCGTTCTTGCAACAACAGGTAATAGGAACTCAATGGATAGGTTTAGGGTATTGCTTGTTTGTTAAGAAATAAGACCAGGATGCCCTGAAAATTGAGAGCAAACTTTCTGATTGAGCAAGAGTTGCTGGCTCTGCTCTGTGAGCTTGTCCATGCATTGGGAACATGGAGTATGGCTGTACTTGAGCAGCCGAGAATGGTAGTTTAACACAGGGTGTCCCAACGGATGAAAGAGTGCACACAGCCCTTCCGTTCCCCACTCGGTAAGTGTAATTACTGTGTGAGAACTCTGCTTGCTTTGGATCTTAGGAAGCCTACACTTCTTAGATTCCTGGCCTGTAAATTGAGAGACCAAATGGTGATTCCTCCATTCCTCTAAGCATTCTGTAATTCTTACATTGAGTAAGTGGCTGATAGAAGTTTGCCTTAGTAGTATAGAGAAAACATTCTCTTGGCTACGTTGCAAACTCAGAGTTATACAGAATTAGAATTAAATTTTGCCTTTGAGGTATAAGTTCTGGCAATTTGGGCGGGAGTTTCCAGTAATAGGCAAGATGATTCAGACCATTTCTTCATTTTAAAAAAAAAAAAAAAAAAGACAGCTGAAGTCTTAAGGGAAGGCAGCGTCAGGTAAGGTGAGGAAACAGGAATAGTCACGTGAGGCTGGAGGAGACTGTGAAGCTGGCCTGCTTTTGAGGTACCCACCTGCCCAGCTGATGCTGAGCTATAGTTTGTACTCTTTAGGTGAAAGGTTACAGGTCAAGAGGTCAAGGTCCCGTGTAACTGAAGTATAATAGGAGACCTCCCATAGGCTGGGACGGCAAAAGCCACACCCTTAGCACAGGATTTGCCACTTCCTAAGGATTGAAGAGGAGAATTTCTTGCTTGGAGCATCCCAGAGAAGGAAAAAGAGAAAATGAAACAAACCGTCCCCCAGAATTTGCAGCAGGTTTGTGTCACGGTAGACCAGATGGTCTAAGTCTCGGGCCTTGAATTAGAGGCATGGACTTTATCAAAGGGTGCTGTAAAAGTGAATGCACATCCTTTTTAGAGCAAGTCACCTCCATTGGAAGCCTGGGAGGATCTCCAGAAACAGCTTGTCAGTGTCAGTGAGCAGCAGCACGTGGTCTGACACACAGTATGTGGGCCCAAGGCACGTGGATGTGGCAGGAGACAGAGCTACAAGTGCAGCTTGCAGACTGTGGTTGGCCTTTCCTTGCAGTTCTAGGATTGAATAATGCTTCACCCCTGTAACGTGCCTGTTGCCATCAGCTGAGCAGGAGGTTGGCCGTGTCCAGAGAAGTGATGTCAGCAGAGGAAAGCTGGGGATTTATAGGCTGAAGCTGTCCTGTTTGGAACTTGCCTCTTGGCACCCTCCCCCTTGGTTTCTCAGGTCAGATAACAATGCAGCCTTGCTTGCTGATGTGGAAAGTGAGCACAAGTGAGCACCCACTTTGGCTGGGTGCAGCACTGAGAGCTCAGTCCAAACCACCAACCTCCTGTAGGGTCTAATGCGTGAGACCCAGTAGGAGTGGCAGACGGTGATTATTAAACATGAGCTGTTGGAATATCAGAAAAGAATTACAGAAAGCAAAACATCGACAGAGGAAAAAAGATCTACAGACAACATAGAAGATTTGGGAAAGACCCAGTGAGCAATTGAATTATCAAATGAACATTCATTGGGCAAGTTCTATAGCAATTTGTATATCACAAAGAAAGTCAAACCTGACGATCAAATGAAGTACACTCATAATATAACTTAAGTAATGTAGAAAACACAGATGACAGGGAGCATACATGTGACTTAGTTCTTCAAAGTTCAGAATCAGAAAACAAATTCTTATATGTAGGGTAGGATACATATATGCAGGGCTTTTGGGGAAACATGCTATGATTTTTTATCTGTAAATTGCACATATGTTCTATGAATTTTTATAATTGCACAAGTAGTACAATTTTAAAATATATTTGGTCATCTTTCTCTAAAGGAAATGAAGATCTAGAAGAGTTAAGTAACACCTTACACTCTTGACTTTTGATGTACTATTTTCTTTGCTTTATTTTAGTGTTTTATTTATTCAGAAATCATCTTTTCGCTATTTTTAAACTTCATAGAGTTAAATTCCATTTTGTTGCTTTCACATAGAAGGCAGTTTGGGTTTCCAAATAGATTTTGTCACAAAGTGAATTTGGAAGGAGGAAGTCGAGCCACCTTTGAAGCTGACTCTTAGTTTCCGTCTGTGGAAGCTGAGGGACGTGTTGTAGTCTCCTATAGAGAAGGATGTGTTGTGAAGGCTGTTCATCTTTCTTTATTTTCAGATGGAGAAGTCTTTACCTGGGGTCACAATGCTTATAGCCAGCTGGGCAATGGAACAACGAATCATGGTTTAGTGCCCTGCCATATCTCTACTAATTTGTCAAATAAACAAGTCATTGAGGTTGCCTGCGGGTCTTATCATTCTTTGGTCCTAACATCTGATGGAGAGGTGAGGATAATTAGCACAAACTCACTGATTTTTTTTTCTTTTTTTATAATATGTTCTATAGATTCCTTTAACTGCCCCCAAAATATGACTAGGCAATAAAATCAATAAAATTGAGTTTGCTTTGCATTGCTATGATAAAACATCATGATCAAAAGCAACTTGGGGAAGAAAGGTTTTATTTGCCTTACAGGCTACAGTCCAGGGAAATCAGGGTAGGAACTCAAGACAGGAATCTGGAAGCAAAACTGAAGCAGAGGTCATGGAGGAACTCTACTTACTGGCTTGCTCCCCCTGGCTTTCTCAGCCTGCTTTCTTATACCTCTCGGAACCACCAGCTCAGAGATGGCACTGTCTTCAGTGGCCTGGGCCATGCCACACCAATAATTAATCAAGAAAATACCCTATAGACTTGCCTGTAGACAATCCGAAGGAGGCATTTTCTCAATTGAGTTTCTCTTCCCAGATAACTCTTCCCAGGGTGCTCTAGAGGAACAGAACTTAAAAAGGGATCTATCTATCCTTCCATCCATCTATCTATATCTAATCATTATGTATATATATGTATATACATGAATAATAAGATAGATAGGGGATTTAGATATATAAATATGTAGATGGGATCTATAGATATATATATACATATATATATGGTAGATCGATAGATATAAACAGATAAGATATATATATATGGGATTTACTAGAATGGTTTACAGTCTGTGGTCCAGCTAGTCCAACAATGGCTACCTACCAACAGAAGGTCCAGTAATACAGTTCTTTTTCAGGCCACAAGGCTGGATGCCTTAGCTGGTCTTCAGTATATACTGGAATCCTAAAGAAGTAGGCTCTAATGCCAGTGGAGGAGTATGCTCATTAGTGAAGCGAGAACAAGCCGGCAAAGAGAGCAAGCTTTTTCTTCCATGACCTTTATATAGGCTGCCACCAGAAGGTGTGGCCCAGATTAAAGGTGGATCTTCCCACCTCAAAAGATCTGAATAAAAGGTGTATCTTCTTACCTCAGAGATCCAGAGTAGAAGTGGGTCTTCGTACTTCTGGTGATTTAATTAATTAAAAACAACAACAACAACAACAACAAAAAAAAAAACCCTCACAAATGTTCAACAATTTGGGTTTTGTTTACAACCAAGAATAGCCATCACATCTAGCTTGTGCCAGATTGTCAAAAAACTAACCAAAGTAGTTATGATGAGCTAAGCGGGGATGTTTAAGATAACTGCCCCTCAGACTCAGCCTTATTCTTGGTAGCAACCTTTTATCATGATGGTTGTATTATGATATATCCCTGTATGTAGTAAGGACTTCAATCATTTCAAATCTTAAAAGGACTCATTATTACTTTTATAATGCTATAACAAAGGTCTTATTTGCAAAATAAAAAAAGTCCCAAAATGTTGAAAAATATGGCTGCAGTGGGCAGGTATTTTGTATTATAATTGTTACTCTTGTAGAGATAACACAAGCGTTATAAAATAATACTTTCTCTGCCTATATTGTGAGACCAGTGGGGAAGGAAGCTCTTTGACAGGATGGTGAGATGCCCTGAGCACATGTCAATGTACAGCTGAGACACTTTATCAAACATGTGTTTTGTTTATCAGTCTTCTTTTTCACATAGGTATTTGCCTGGGGTTATAATAACTCTGGGCAGGTAGGCTCTGGATCAACCGCTAATCAGCCCATTCCTCGAAGAGTCACTGGATGTTTGCAGAATAAAGTAGTTATGAACATAGCATGTGGGCAGATGTGTTCCATGGCCGTTGTGGACACTGGAGAGGTAGGAAGGTTACTTCATACTTGGTTTCAAAAGTTTTCTTTGTCTCCTTAGTGTCATATAAGCATGGCATGCTTCTCAACAACAGAACTGAACTGCTGAGTGCTATGGTTCTTATCTTTCCCCAGGTCTATGTCTGGGGTTACAATGGGAATGGACAGCTGGGTCTGGGTAGCAGTGGCAACCAGCCAACCCCCTGTAGAGTGGCAGCCCTGCAAGGCATCCGTGTCCAGCGGGTACGTCTCCTGGTGGTCTGTGTGCAGTGCACTGGGTCCCGGTTTTCTTATACACATGGGAAGTTCAGCTGGTTTGATGCTTCTGTTGAAGTAAAGGTTAAAGCCCCCTTTGCCTTGAACTAAGGTGTACCTGTTTATAGAGATGCTGTTTCTCTATCAGTTTTGTGAACTGTACCAAGCAAGTTGCACACCCTTTCCTGAAGAATCTTTGAGAGCATATATGCCAACAGTTTTAAAATTTTTTCATGCCTTTTTACCTGTAATTCCACTCTTAGAGAATTCTCCTATGGAACCAAAGAGAAAGTCTCATATAAAATTAGTTCAGTCATAGTGAAATCCATTAATATGCATTAATAGTTATAATCTTAACAAAGGAATTCTTGGGGAGAGAATAGACAAAAATGGTTAAGAAGAATGTAAGAAAAGTAAGTTTAATAAAAAGGATAGGCATTGTATAATTTACGAATGAGATTGATGGTGATGCTGTTCTTGAGACAGAGTCTCACTGTTCACTCAGGACATACCTGTGAACCTCTTGCTGCAGTCAGCTTCCTGCCTGTAGAGATTACATGTGTGTGCCACCACAACCAGCTTACAAAGTTGTTGTTTTGTTTTGTTTATTTTTAAGACAGAGTTTCTCTGTGTAACAGTCCTAGCTGTCCTGGAACTCACTTTGTAGACCAGGCTGGGCTCGAACTCACAGAGATCTGCCACCATCTGCCTGCTAAGAGCTGGGACTAAAAGTGTGCACCACCACTGCCAGGCTTTACAAAGAATTTTTAATAGTGGGGAGAAAGCAATGTCAAAGTAACTTTAGGTTAAAAAGATAAAAGATAGCTACATATGCTACCACTTAAAAATTTGTACGTTCATGTTTCTTCTTTCTGTTTTCTTTTTTTTTTTAAATTTTATTTTATGATCATTGGTGTTTTGCCTGCAATGTATGTCTGTGTGAGGGTGTCAGATCCCCTGGAACTGGAGTTATAGACAGGTGTGAGTTGCCATGTGGGTGCTGGGAATTGAACCTAGGTCCTTTGAAGAGTAGCCAGTGCTCTTAACCACTGAACCATCTCTTCAGCCCCATAAGTGCATATTTTTATATCTGAAAAGTTGGGAAAAAAACTTCTCAATTCCTGGTCTTGAGAACTTTTCAAGCTGGCAGTGGTGGCACACGCCTTTAATCCCAGCACTCAGGAGACAGAGGCAGGCGGATCTCTGAGTTTGAGGCCAGCCTGGGCTACAGAGTGAGTTCAAGGACAGCCAGGACTGCACAGAGAAACACCCTCTTGACACCAGAGAGCTTCTTTCCTCCATTTTCCACAGTAAGCATGTTTTCCTTCAATAACTAGAAGAAAGAATTAGGTGTCTGTGTCTTACCCTGGCCTCACAGCCCTGGGTTCTCCGGGAGTAGCGAGTGCTGCTGGAGAGCTCACTGCAGTGGGCTGAGCCAGCGGAAGTACTGGGGGTGATCTCTGCAGCACCGGCCACTCAGCTGGGCCTGCGCTACTCCCAGAGAGTACTGGTTCTTTCACTGTCTGCCCTTAGGGGCAGTCTGCCCTTCCTCGGCTTCCATTTAGTCTTAACCTCTTTTGTAAAAGTGAAACGTTACCCTTTACTTGCAGACCTGACAAGATTTGTCTTTTGTCCTTCTAGGTTGCCTGTGGCTACGCACACACATTAGTATTAACAGATGAAGGTCAAGTGTATGCTTGGGGTGCAAATTCTTATGGCCAGTTGGGCACTGGCAATAAAAGTAACCAGTCCTACCCTACCCCTGTTATTGTGGAAAAGGACAGGTAAGGTGGACATTTCCAAATCACCTCCATGGTGTTTAGTGTGGAATTATGGGAAGTCACTCTTAGCATTGGACTACTCTTTAGCCAGATTGTTCATTCCTTGTTGAAGTTGCCTTGGGAGTTGTTGGGGACATGGCGCTCCTGTGTCGCGTGCCTGTATGTCACTGTCCCCCAGTGCTGCCCGTGCAGACCGCAGTGAACTGTCAGGAGAGCTCTGTGTGCACGTCGTCGTCGGCTGAGTGCTCTCTCCTTGCTTTTGTTCCCCTCCTCAAAGGGAAGGTGGTAGTGAGTGCTTGCGCTCTGTCTTCTGTGGCTGGGGAAATTGCAGGGTTTTGAGTGGGGTATGACGCCAGTCTCTCAGCTCCTCACAAAACCTGCCGCTTAGAAGGGCAAGGTGGTTTCATTGTTTTAACGTTGCAGACTTGTGCTGTGCAGAGGAGTGAAGTGCTAGAAAAGGAGGACTCGGTTTTGAATCATTTCCAAGTGATCCTAGTGATTTTGAAAGCCTCTGGCTTCCTCAGTCAGTCACGGCACTGCCTTGCCCCTGTCGTCTGGACTCCGTGTGCGGCACAGAGACATTACAGTACTTCCCTTTCAACCCAGCGATGCTGTCACTATGGAGATTAATGTGCTCTTCCTATTTTTATTCCTCATAGTAGTTTTTATATTTGATTTAAATAAATATGTGGATTAATAGATTAGCTGACATTGGGCTTCTTTTGATGTTTTTTTCCATTGGAATTCTTTATAAATTGTCATTTTTATTTACATACTGTAAACATGGTTAATTTTACATAATCTGTATAGATCTGGAAAAACCACTTTTTTTAAGCTAAAAGTTTGAAAATAGGACCTTTGACTCTTTAAATGGGGAACAGAGGAGATAGTGGAGGCAGGAACTGGTGCATAGATGCCTGTGACTCTATCATTTGCTGGCCTTGTAAAGTATCCACAGAGGTCAAGGAAAGCAGAAGGGATATTTTCTCACAACCGAGCAACTATAAAAATGCCTCAGCCTGCCCATGCAGTCAGTAGAGACTGGTACGCAGCCTGAACACCAGTGCTGAAGGTCAGAGAGGGGAGCACGGACAGCAGAGTGACTCATGGGCCTTCCCTCGTGGTGCTCCCACACTTACTTAGCATCTCATCAGCTAAGACTGGCTTGCATTGCCTTGCTTTCTCTGATCCAGAATGAGATTTCATCTTCCCAGTGGTCCACTCTGGAGCAGACTGTGGGCCACTAAGAGGGGGCGAGAGCTGGAAGCTGAGACGCAGCGGAGGAAGCTATGGGAGTGCACATTGCCAAGCAGGGCTCCAAGCTGCCTGCCCCGTGCTATGGGCACAGACACTGGGCTCTTCCTGTGCATTTCTGCCCTTGCTGCTGCCCATATACATCAGGGATGGCTATTCTGAAAGGATCTCCCTGGTCTCCTCAGTTTCCCAGCCTTGAACTCCAGGTGGCAGTTTCTGAGCTTGCACAATGTCAGTCAGGCCTCCGTTGCTGGCATGTGGTGAATCTGCTAGGACTTGTCCAGCAGCACCCGGCCCTACCCAGTGGCTGAGCCTCACACATCGGTCATGACTTTCTTCTGACTCTTGTGGGGCTCTTCCAGAAAAGCCTAGTTAGGAATGGGATTGAATTTTGGGTGGGACAGGGGTGAGTCTATGGTTGTTAGTGCCTGTTCATGGTGAAAGAAAAATAAAATCCACCTACATGGATTCTCTGCTCAAAAGGAAACGTTTTTAAAAGGTTTAGCACATATGTCCTTGTTCTTAAGTTTATCCTGAAAAGGCATATTATAACTTATAATGTAAAGTTAGCCATCCCTTGAATTTCTGATCATTCTGTGGCCTCTGGAGCTCTTCAGTCGTCCACTGGGCTTTCCGGAGCCATGACTGGGAATCAGCTTCTAGGTTTGCCTTTTCTATGGGGATGCCTTTTCTCCATTGTTCACCAACACAAATAACCTCTCTTTGTTCTCTGTCCCTGTTTTTATTTATATTCTTTCTCACACTCTGCCTTTCCAGTATTTCACAGCCATTAAGCTATGTGGTGGGGTAAGCCATTCCACTGAGATGATACAAAACACGTACACTAAGAACTTGTAGTAATTTCCCCATTCACTTTGGCTACAAAGTAAGTGTGAAGTGTGCCAGGGTCTAGACAGTGGAGGTTAGCTCAGTTCACACCTGTTAACTGTTGCCTGTCAGCCCAGAAAAGGCGAGGTTCAGAATGTGTTTCTTGGTACAAAATCAGGATTTTTTTATGTTTGTTGGTTGTTGGTTTATTTTTGAGGCCTCTGTAAAACTTGCAGGTGGCCGTAACACTGAAGTAAATTCTATTCCCTCAGGAGTTTTTTTTTTTTTCATTTTTTTTTTTTTTGAGATTTGATATGTTTTCTTATATTCTTCCCCTTCCCCCAACTCCTCCTAGTTCTTCCTCTACTACCTAGCTACCTACCTGTCTTAGGGTTTCTGTTGCTGTGAAGAGACGCCATGACCACGGCAACTCTTATAAAGGAAAACAGTTAATTGGGGCTGGCTTACAGTTCAGGGTTTAGTCCATTATCATCATGGTGGGACCTGGTGGCATGCGAGCAGATATGGTGCTGGAGAAGGAGCTGAGAGTCCTACATCTTATCTCACAGGCAACAGGAAGTGAGCTGAGACACTGGGCATGGCTTGAGCATACATGAGACCTCAAAGCCCACCCCCTACAGTGACATACTTCCTCCAACAAGGCCACACCTACTCCGACAAAGCCACACTTCCTAAGAGTGCCACTCCCTATGAGCTTATGGGAGCCAATTATATTCAAACCGCCATAGTACCCAACTTCATATACTTTCTCTCTCTTAAAAAACAACAAACCAAAACCAAAACCAAACTGCACACTTGTGGACACACACACACAGAAACCCGGCCTAGGCCTGACCTCAGAAGGAACAGAGTAAGAACAGCTCACCGATGCTCACAGGAAGGTGGTATGGTATGGCTCCTCCTCTATACTCAGAGAAAAGCTGTGATTTTACTACTGATAGCTAAGACGTTCAAGTGCTTAAAAACAAAAACCTTTTGTTAACTGCTTAGCTCTGTGTGTGTGTGTGTGTGTGTGTGTGTGTGTGTGTGTGTGTGTGAGAGTGAGCCCACCGCAGTGCTGCTTTAGCCCCCCTTCAGGACCATGGGGTTGGGTTGGTCAGGGCTCACACTCCAGAGCCACCTCTGACTCCTGCTTGTGGTCGTCCAGGCTACCTTGATTCTGCTTGGTGACAGGGCTCGGCTGTGGTGGGAACCTGCATGGGTCCTCCCAGCTAGCCTCGCAGGCTGTCCTTTCTCTCCCTCACAGTCTCTTGAGCACACTGTCCTAGAATACTGTCCTCTTACGTCTGTTCAGAGCTCTCTCCACTCACCTGCCACATCAGACCATGATGGAGCTCACGGGCCTTTGCTGATAGACACCGTGGTTCATAGCAAACCCCGAGGCTCACTGGCCCCCAGACTGACTTGTCTGTTCACTTAGACACTCTGTCAACGCCTCCCTCCTGCCCTGCTATGCCTGCCTCTGCCTCCTGTTTGGCTATAGGTTTTTCTCTACCTCACAGGCTCTGTGTTCCTCTAACAAATTCAAAGTCTCCTGGTCCTGGTAGCTCTCAGGTCTGTTCTTACCCAGCAGAGCTGGTGGACTGCCATACTCTGGTCTGCAGCTTCTCGCCAGGTGGATGGCAAGCTGCCATGGTTGGCCTCTGTAGCTCCTGCAGCAGCAGCTGTTAAAATGATCATAGTCATGGAAGAAGATACACTTGATGTCTTGCTCTTTGGGGTTGCCTTGCTTCATTTCTTCTGTACCACAGTGCCTCTAAGACAGTGGCTGCTCTATAGCCTGTACTCTAAGTTGTGCACTTTGCTCTCCCCACCTTGATTTTTTTCTTTAAAAAGATAATAAAACTGATTATAAGACTATAAATGGTTTGGCTTATATAAACTACTGTTGCCTGAGGGCTAGTGTTGTACTCAAAGCAGGGGGCTCTGAATGGCTGGCATTGAGGCCCTTGTGTCTTCTGTGAGGTGGGAAGCCTGCCAGTAAATTGATGGGAGTAGTGGACACATTTATCTTCTAGTAGATGAATTTCATTTCCTGACTTCTCCTGCTTTCCATATCTGTTGAAAAATGTATAGTACCTTTCTAGCCAGATCATGGGGGCCATTTTCCCGTTGTGCAAGGCTGTTCTGCAGAGCACGGGATATGGGCATCAGTTGCATACAGACACAAGCATGCAATGGTAGGAGGGCCTGCCAACTCAGACAGACCATCTCTACACGAGGCGTTTTCATGTAAAGTGATATGTTAACTAGATGACCAGAGGCCATGGCTGTGTCCTGCACACACTCCTGTCTGAGGCTAAAGGTCCGAATGGACTCTCTTATGCTCGTTTTCAAGCGTGGAACTGAAAGTAAGCTATTCATCTAACCTAAGGAATCAGGATTAAAAATAACAATAGCCAAATTTCCCAAACAGGCCCATTGAAATTGCGTGACACCGAAGTTCCCTGTTGTAATCCTTATGCAGAAAGGGTCACTTGATGTCACCCAGGCACTCATTTCCCTATGGTTTTGGTGGGGAAAACAACTGAACTGACCAACTGTCTCTGTTGGTTTCTGCTTATTTCTCTCATTCCTTCTGTTTACAGCCTCCTTTGGCTCAGCCCACAGGACACTTTATTTTGTGATGTGTGATTGCCCAATTGTAGAAGTGAAGAGAGCTAGTTAAGGTTGCTGCAGGAAGTTCTGATTTGGGCCTTTTATGGCAGCAGCAGTAGAGAGGCCCTTACTATGCTGGTTGCTACACCAAACACGGCCCAGCATAGACCACTTACCATTCAGTTCTCACCCTAGATGAAACCAAGACTCTTGGAGCCAGGGTTCATTCAGTTTAGTGCATCCTCTCAGCATGCAGAAGGTGAGGGTCATTCAGTATAGTGCATCCTCTTAGCATGCAGAAGGTGAGGGTCATTCAGTATAGTGCATCCTCTTAGCATGCAGAAGGTGAGGGTCATTCAGTATAGTGCATCCTCTCAGCATGCAGAAGGTGAGGGTCATTCAGTATAGTGCATCCTCTTAGCATGCAGAAGGTGAAGGTCATTCACTATAGTGCATCCTCTCAGCATGCAGAAGGTGAGGGTCATTCAGTATAGTGCATCCTCTTTGCATGCAGAAGGTGAGGGTCATTCAGTATAGCGCATCCTCTTAGCATGCAGAAGGTGAGGATCATTCAGTATAGTGCATCCTCTCAGCATGCAGAAGGTCCAGAGTCATTCAGTAGGACATCAAGACAAGAAGCTATTGAGTTTATTGTGCAGACAGAAGCCAGAGTGACTTTCAGCCCTCTCCCTTTAAAGTGACTGAAGGTTTGTTTGGTTTGGGTGACAGGGATAAGCCCCGGGCAGCTCATTTGCTGAGTGAGTGCTTATGTGCTAAAACCCATCCCACCCTGAGCTTTCCTTTATTGATCTAGATTAGATGGCCCATGTCTTCGTTATCTAGTTAGTAATTTTTTAAGCATGAAACGTTACGTTTTTAACTCAAAGCAGGATGGTATTTTTTTTTTTTTTTTTTTTTTAAAGATTTATTTATTTATGTATACAGTGTTCTATCTGCATGCATGCCTGCACGCCAGAAGAGGGCACCAGATCACATTACAGATGGTTGTGAGCTACCATGTGGTTGCTGGGAATTGAACTCAGGACCTCTGGAAGAACAGACAGTGCTCTTAACCTCTGAGCCATCTCTCCAGCCCTTAAAAGTTTTTTTTTTTTTTTTTTTTTTTTTTTTTTTTTTTTTTTTTTTGGTTTTTCGAGACAGGGTTTCTCTGTGTAGATTGGCGCCTTTCCTGGAACTCACTTGGTAGTCCAGGCTGGCCTCGAACTCACAGAGATCCGCCTGGCTCTGCCTCCCGAGTGCTGGGATTAAAGGCGTGCGCCACCACCGCCCGGCAGGATGGTATTTTTAAGGCCTATTGGTAATCAATAGATCCTCATGAGTTAGAAATGCCATTGAAGTATGACTCCAGTATTTGGTGACTGCAAATTTAGGAAGTGAGGTGTCCAGGTCTTGCTTTGTTCTTTTTGTTCCTTGGGCCCACTCACTTCTGTCAGGTAGTTAGTTCACAATAGACTGGTCAGGTGCACCCAGGGGAAGGAGAGGCAGCTCCTTTTCCTCCTGTTCACTGTATCCCTGTGTTCGCTTGTGACTTTAGGATCATAGAGATCGCAGCCTGTCACTCCGCCCACACGTCTGCCGCCAAGACCCAGGGCGGTCACGTGTACATGTGGGGCCAGTGCCGCGGCCAGTCGGTGGTCCTTCCCCACCTCACCCACTTCTGCTGCACCGATGACGTCTTTGCCTGCTTTGCCACACCTGCCGTCACCTGGCGCCTCCTCTCTGTGGGTAAGCGTGCCCTGTCCATTTGGGGCATTTCCTGAGGAGTGGGAAGAGGACTGGGGCCGTCACTGGGGACGGGATCTGTGAACTTCCTTTCTGGGGGCCCCGGGAAAGGGAATCAAAACTCCTGGGAGCAGCACCAACACGAATTAAAGGTAATTTGATTTGATTGCTTTTTACTTTAACTGGAAATTGCATCTTTTATTTTTAGCTAGAAACATTCTGAACATTCAACTTTCTAAAATTTTACTCAGTTAATGAGAGAGTTGGAAACATTTTTGGTTTTGCCAAATTTATAGTGAAGTTTTGGAGATATGAATCTGTATTCAGGGGTGAAGCCTTGTGTAGCTGGTCAGTTGTCTGGGGGAGGAGCCTTTCCTGAATGCCCAGAGTAGAGTCTCCTTGCCTCCGTGTCCAGCCGTCTGTGGCTGACCCTACAAGTGCTGTGCTGTTCTCTTAGAACCCGATGACCACCTCACTGTGGCCGAGTCACTGAAGAGGGAGTTTGACAACCCCGACACTGCAGACCTCAAGTTTCTGGTTGACGGAAAATACATCTATGCTCACAAAGTCCTCCTCAAAATTAGGTAACAACCGTGGCTCTGCGGGGGATGGTGCTTGGTACCCATCAAGCCTAATGACCTGAGTCCCATCCTTGGGTCCCATATGGTGGACAGAGAGAGCTGTCCCCATTTGTGACTTCTACATGTATTCTGTGGGACACTGGGACACACACACACACACACACACACACACACACACACACAATGTTTAAAATAATTAGTAAGAGCTCGTCTCTTGAGAATTGAAATTAATTCATATGTCGGTTGTTTCAGGTGTCCAAGGGACAGTGCCAGGCACTTGAGTAATTAAGAGCCAGCTCTGTCAAGGCCATTTTTGCCCTTAAAGTACACAGTGTGGGTGGGGGCAATGGAACAAGATATGGAAAGGAGGGTGGGCCATGAGTACTGAGTCTGTGTTCAGGGACAGCTCACGTTAGAAAGCTCCGGTTATGGCTTCTGTCCTTGGTGACTATGTTTAGCCCTTGGGATAGGGCCAAGTTCTCTGATTTACTTTATTGCCTGGACTGGAATACATCCCTGAGGACAGCCATGGTAACCCTTCTAACTCAGGCTTAACTTTCAGATGCTGTTAAAAAAACAAAACCAAAAAAAAAGTGATGGTCGGGCAAGGCTTTCCCAGACGAAGGAGGCCTGGGTGATGCCAACCCAAAGATGTTTTAAATCATATTTATTATGTTTAATTTCTAAGCACTGGATGATAGCCACTCACCTTTGTCCCAGTACATAGTCTAGGGAGCCACTGCTTTACCTTCAGATACAGAAAAGTTCTGTCATACTTCAAAGATCCCACAGCCCCATCTTGAGCAGCTACTGATTTTTTCTGTCATCGTAGATACTTAGCATTCTTTAGAAGCTCGTATATATGTAATTATATGGCATTTCTTTTTTTCTGCCTGGCTTTTTCCTCTTAGTATAATGATTTGGGATTTTGTTGTCACTGTGTAAAAGGTATTTAAATCTTCTTTCAGTGACTCACAAACCCAATGTGGTGTTTCAGTCTCAGGTTCCTATCTTGTAAGGTCACACAGTGCCACGTGAGTTCACACTCACCATAGAGCATATACTTTCATCAAGGAAGTGGGGGGTTTAGCTTACAGGGCACTTATACACATGTGGCCTAGACCATAGAAGCTTACTTTTTCACAGTAGCAGTTGGTTTTTCTCCGAGGCTGGAAGGAAAACCCAGGCCTCCACTTGAGCTTCTGATCATGGCAATCTTTGTCTTTTTGAGGCCTGAGCCATGTGGCGTTCTCTGAGTCTGCCTGTGTCTAAATCTCCCCCTTTGTCTGATTGCATTGGAGCTACCACAGTGACTTGACTTAACTTGGTGTCTTCAGTAGAGAGCCTGTCTCCAAATACGGTCACATTGTAAGTTACCAGGGGCTAGACCATCAACACAGGATCTTTTCAGGGATCTAATTCAGACTGAATGGAGTAAAGAAACGAAATTGTTCCCTTATCAAAGCAATGCTGGTCAGTAAGGATAGTCTGAGCAGGACACAGAGGCCCTGCTGTGTCGTCGCCGTCAGTTGAGTTATAGAGACAGCTGTCTGGGCTGCCCACTGCGATGATTAACTGACACAAGAGCATTGACTTACTTAGTGTTGGTACTGCTGAGCTGTACCTTCAGCTTGAAAGCTTACCTTGGCTCAGGTTTGATTGGAGGTTTCACTCTGTGATTGGTTTGCACTGTTGTTGGGGCCTCTTGAAAGGCAGCATATCATGGTAGGAAGTGCTTGGGGGAACAGCATTGCTAATACCATAAGCCAGGGATCAAAAGGAGCTTGGGTTCCACAAACCCCTTTGGGTTCATTTCCCCAAGGATTGAAGACCTCATAGTAGGTCGCCCTATCTAAGCCCTACCTCTTAAAGGTTCTATTACCTCCTCAGATTGCCACCCTGGGACCAGGCTTGGACAGATGGGCCCTCAGGGGACACCCAGTATCTAAGTAGCAAATAGGAAGGTATACGACTTCAATAGAAAGTCCTCAAGCAGCCCTTTGACTCCAGCCCAGAACCTGGGATATGATCTTTCTTTCTTCTCTCAGGTGTGAGCATTTTCGTTCTTCATTAGAAGACAGTGAAGATGATATTGTAGAAATGAGTGAGTTTTCATATCCTGTGTTCCGAGCTTTCCTGGAATACCTCTACACGGATAATATCAGCCTATCTCCTGAGGAGGCAGTAGGTAATCACCACAGACTTTACCAAGAAATTGGCAAAATGTTGAGTCATTAGGAAGGCAGGCTTCTTTCCAAACCAGGAGAAAGACACCATGACCACTTGCAGGAGCTCTTCTGTTGATGTTGAGCCTAAGCTTTCTTCTCTTTGGTGCTTAAGATGGAACACTTGGCTTTGCTCATACTCCACCGGATGGAACACTTGGCTTTGCTCATACTCCACCGCTGAGCTACACTCTCAGGCCCTGAACCCAAACTTCCCTTGTTGCTACTGCACGTGAAGGTTGAGTAGGCAGATCCAGTAAGAGGTCCATAAGACCCAGTGTCCGCTGGAGTATCACAGACAAGCATGCAGGTGAGGGAGGACAGCAGATGCCAGTGTCTGGAAAGGCAGAGCCCTAGAAGGTCTCTTCATCAGTGCCCCAGAGGAGCTCGAGGCCACATCTGCTACACAGCACTCGTGGAAGTGGGCATTTCTAGGTGGCTCAGTTAAATACTTCATGATCTGGGCAGAAAGGCAAAATGGATTTGTGTGTGTGCATGTGTATGTGTGCACTTGTGGGCACACATGTGAGGACTCAGGATGATTTAGCCCATCCATATATATCCTCAGCAAAACTCATTTACCACTGGCAAAGTCTGACATTTATCCTAATTAATAAGCCCTTCAATGAACATTCACTACTACCTAATAAAAAGGTGTATGACTAAAGGAAAAAAAGCAAAGACATACCATTGCCCCTCATATAACAATCCATATTACCAGAGCAGGACAAAGTCCCTCAGAGAAAGCTATTTGTTTTTAAAATGTTAAAAATAGTATAAAGGAGCCAGTAGCCCAGCCGGTAGAGGTGTTTGCTACCAGGCCTGACAAGCCAGAATTTGAACGATTCCCACAGGTTATCAGCCTTTCTCGGTTGGGCACCGTGAAGCTATTTACGTGTGGGAGGATTCAGCAGGGGGCGGCTTCAGGACAGAGGGGGCGGTGAGAAACGACAGCAAATACAGACCGCCCTCTAGGAGTTTTGCTAGAGGAGAGGATGGGTTGGGAGGCAGATGTGCCCAGAAAAGGGGATTCCTTTCTATCCTTTGGTGCAGGAATTGAAGGTAGGGCTTGAGCCTGCTACATGGTGCACATGCGCCCTGCGTCACGGACACCCCCAACCCCAATCCGGCTCTGTCCTTTTTAATTCTGTGACAGCATGTCTGCTGATGGGCGTGGCCTTGGAGAAGATTCTGTGCAGGAGAGGGTAATTAAGAGAAACACAATCCTGCTGTTTCGTTTCTAGGAAACATCATTCAAGCCATTCTTCTGTTACTCCTGTTCTTCAGTAGTGTTTCTCTGTTAGCTCAGCTCAGCTGCCTTCTTAGGAAGCTACCGTCAGCAGCATGACCATAGCGTCAGTGCTGTGGTCATGCTGCGCAGAGCTAGCTCACTGTGCCTGATGGTGGCCGTGCTCACATCCCTTTGAACGCTGCTGGGGTTGAGAGCAGGTACTCAGAGTGCACCCACAATAAATTCTCCTTTTCATCAGGATTGCTAGATCTGGCCACATTTTACAGTGAGACTCGGCTGAAAAAGCTCTGTCAGCAAACCATCAAGCAAGGGATCTGTGAGGAGAACGCTATTGCTCTGCTCTCTGCTGCTGTGAAGTACGACGCTCAGGTAAGAAAAGCATCTTCTAGAAGACAAGTTATGTGCCATCACCATACTGTAAAATAAGCTCTAGATGAAAATGGAACATACAAAATAAAAGTACGAGAAAAATTATGCGACTTCATATTGGTATAAAAATGTGACTCGCCGGGCGGTGGTGGCGCACGCCTTTAATCCCAGCACTTGGGAGGCAGAGGCAGGCGGATCTTTGTGAGTTCGAGCCCAGCCTGGTCTAGAGAGCGAGATCCAGGAAAGGCGCAAAGCTACACAGAGAAACCCTGTCTCGAAAAAAAAAAAAAAAAAAAAAAAAAAAAAAACAAAAAATGTGACTCAGTAACGTCAAAAGAAGACATAAAAGACTGGTAGACCTGATTTCCAGTGATTAAAACTTTATACATGAAGCGTGAAATGGCTCACAGGTAAAGGAGCTTGCTGCCAAACCTAGCAGTGTGAGTTCAGTTCCCAGGACCCACATGATGGAAGCAGAGAACTGACTCCAAGTTGCCCTCTGACCTCCCTATGTGTGCTGTGATATGCTCCATGTACAAGCACGCGCACGCACACACACACACACACACACACACACAAATTCACAAGTAAACATTGGAAAAATAGTTTTTACAACATACAATAAAGCAAGTTATTCATAGTAAAAAGAAAAAGAAAACATGGACAATTTGGGGAGAAAAATGGACCAAAGAACAAATAAAAAATATAATAAATATTATGGAGGAGCTGGGAGATAACTCTATCATGAACGTGCATATACTTGCATAGGGAGATTAGATGCAGTTTTTATTTCCTTCTCTTTGCTTTTTTTTCTCGAACTTTCTACAGTGGCTGTGTATTGTTACGATAAAGAAAGGGAAAAAAACTTACTCTAGAGCCAAATCTGTAGGAAACAGGCCATAACGTCTTGGAGTCAGTTTCCTTTTGGTGTAAGGATATCCTCTCCATTGATTAAAAAAAAAAAAAAAGACTGGTAAAAGAGAATGCCTTTTTCCTCTTTTGTAAACAGTAATATGCTTATGTAGGAAATTCTAAGTCTGAGGGAGGAAACGATGCATGGAACAGACATTACGACTGTCCTCTGTTATAGGGCATGGCTGCCCCCTCCACCCTCCACCCCGGTCAGAGCTTGATCCTCTTTCCTTTCCTTTCTATTAAAAACTTTTATTTTTGGGTGGTTCTGGCCATTGAATCTTAGGGCTTTGTACTTGCCAGGCAAGAGCTGACCTCTGAGCTGTATCCCCAGGCCTTCTCTGTTTATTGTGAGGTAGGATCTCACTAGTAATCCAGGTTTAACCTTGAGCACTTTGTACCCCAAACAGGCCTCGAACTTGCCATCTTCTTGCCCTCAGGCTTCTACATGCCTTGAAGAATAGGCCTGAGCACTAGGCATGACTTGTATATATTTCTAAATATCTGATGTTTCATTTTTCATTCAATGTTTAATAAGAACAAAACATACCCAACTGTATCCACATGGAATAGGGACGGTAGGGAGTGTCCAATGAGGAGGCCATGTCCACCAGCAAGTGGTAAAGTGTGGACTCACCCAAGTCATTGGCTATAGGAATGGTGAAAAGTGTTTGGATTGTAACTCTGCTTATAAGGCAGAGGCATTATGATTTGTTGATGTGGGTTGGGGACCAGGAAGGACAGTAAGAATCATGTCAAAGTTTTTGGCTGAGTAACTAAGATGAACTCTCTGTGAGGTGGAGGATGGCAAGGAGCACCGAGTTGGGTAGAATGGTTAGGAACAGCATTATCGGAGAAAGGCGAGGTACCAGAGTAAAGCCATCCCCATGAGTACTTGTTTTTAATTTTAATGCTGAGTAAAATGTGAAATTTCACATATTTAGAAACATACACGTCAGTCCACATGGTTCAGGAGGTGATACCCTGAAAGCTAGGAAAGACTTGAGTTTTATAGGAAATAAGAAATCCTTAAATACACTAAAGCCTTGCTGAGTCAAGGCACTTGCTGGCATCTGCCAGTGTGAAAATAGGGTTGCAGCACAGCCCCACAGCAAGGCCTGACTGGAGAATGGAAGCTTCGGAACTGGGGATTAGGGGACTGAGAAACAGCTTTTCCTGGTCATTTTACTGACAGATTTAATGGGACGCAGATTGGAGGGCCAGTTGAGACAAATCAAAGCATGTTTGTGTAAAAAGGGGAACAACACATTGAAAAACAAGCTGCTGGGGACAGTTGCTAGAGCAGGTCCTTGACTAGGTGATAGAGTGAGGAGGCAGGCCTATATCCATCATGGACCATTCACTAGGGTACTCAAAAGGAGGAGTGTCCATAGGTATGTAGTAAGAGGCATGGAGAGGTGAGGGAAGGGCTTTCCGGAGCCTCTTCTGAGTAAAGCAGGAAGTCACGTTCATTTAGAGCGAGAAAGAGGAAGTACTTGGACAAAAATGAGTCATGTGGGAGAAGATTGAACAGGGAACCATGGTGCCTGCATTTCCCTGACAGAACTAAGCCCTTGTTAAATGAGCTTGTGTAAAACAGTAGCGTTCAAGTAGAGAAAGTGTTTGAAAACAATAAAGGACTTGTCTTACACAGAGACAGAATTCCCTGCTAAGTCAGACTGTTGAGTATCAATTTATTGAATCTCAGGAACTCTTTCTGAATCCCATTCTCACAATAATTATGGGAAATTCCCAGTCTAAAAAGTAAAAGAAGATGGATCTAAGTGGTAGTTTCTGAAGGTCATTTTGCTTTCCCAGTAATTAGCAACTCTCCTAGAACTGTGTGGATCTCTTGGACACTGAAGTGCTCCGCTGCCCTTCCACAGCATCAGTACTGGTGTGGGCAGGCATCCCTCCATCATTCTGTAGGGTTTAGCCTAAGAGGTGCCACTGCCTTGTCTGCTCTCCTCTGCTGCCTGCTACCGAGTGGCTCTTGAGGTATTTGGTGTCCCTCCAGACAGCACAGTCTGGCTGTCATGTGAGTACATGACTATTCCATTTTGTCCTCGAGAGTTCCTGTGGAACTGCAGCAGCCTCCAGTCTCCGGTAGGACAGTGATTGCGTTTTCCTTGTGTAGCTGGTTGGCTTTCTCACAAGGGAAATGTCCTGTGGGTTTGTGTGCATGCTGGCATGGCTGTCAGTGTTTTCTGTTGCTCATAACCTCTGTCTGCATTTGCTAGAGGTTAGATTTAGAGAAAAGACTATAACAGGCAATGTACATATGCAATTTCTTGGTAACTGTTGGGGGCTCTGTATTTTATAAAACACCTTCAACAACAGAGACAGAATTTAAAATTGGAGCATGAACGGGTATCCCTTGTGCTAGGTCAGATCGTACTTGGGTGTAGAACACTTCTCTAGTAAGCCTAGCCTGCACGAGGCTTTGAGCTCATTCCTCAGCACCGATTTTATATATATTAAAACACACATATTTATACTGAAATATCTGTAAATATATAAATGATTTTGGATCTGGAGACTGAACCCAGAGCCTCGCATGTTCCCAGCACATACTCTAGGCACTCAGATTCTGCCCGTGGAGATGACTGAAGGTGTGACATGGTGAAGCACACCCATCGCACCTCCTGTCATGCAGAGAAAGAACAAGTGTGCCAGGGACCCGGGCTTTCTGGCAGTGCCAGTTGTTTTGGTGTCTTCCCTTCCTACAGACTCTTCACAAGCAGAAGCATTAAAACACCAGGGCACAGTGCTTCTGGACGAGTACTGAAGGGGAATGACGGATGACGCACTGTTGCTAGGAAGGAAGGGTGCTGAAGGATGCCTTGCGTAGACACTTCTCTGAAGAAAAGGCTAGCTGCTTTGCCCGGGACACTGTACTTTTCTGTTAGTTACCCCTTCAGAAACATGAACTAATTGTAGTTATATTATTGCTGTAACTGTACTGCTCTGCTGAGAACTCCCTCCTACTGGCTATCAGATCCTTTTTCTGAGAGGAATTGATTCTCTTGCCTTGCACTGGGGAATACAAATTCATTAAACTGTTGTTGTTCCTAGGATTTAGAAGAGTTCTGCTTCAGATTTTGCATAAATCATCTGACTGTAGTAACACAAACTTCAGGGTTTGCAGAAATGGACCACGATCTTCTGAAGAACTTCATCAGCAAAGCCAGCAGAGTTGGAGCCTTTAAGAACTGACCCCTAACATGGAAAGGAATGCCTTCCCACTTTACCCCTGCAAAAATAAATAAACAAACAAAACATTAAAAAGAATAAAAGCCATTGATGAACAACATCTCTGTAATGAACAGTGTTGAGAGTTACATCTGGCCAAATCCTGTGTTCTGTCAAAAGGATGGCAGTCAGTCTTCTCCATCTACCTAACCCACAGTTTACAGTAGGAGGCACGGAGTGCTGGCCTGGATATGACACACTCACTCAAAGAATGAGAACGAGCCCAGTCTCACTCGGGTGGAGAGTCTCCCTCTCCCAGCAGGTACCATTGTACATAGCTTCTTGGTTAGAGGTGGGACTTTGTGTCCACTTCTCTTCTCCAGCCAGGACTCTGTCTGGTGAGCTTGCACAGGTCTCGTGCATGCTGTCGGTCTCCGAGTTCATCTGTGCATTTGCCCCGTCGTATCAGGCCCCATGCTCGGAGTCGCTGGCCAGTACCAATAGATTCCATGGCTCCATGCTTTTGTGGGCCTGGTGTTTTGCTTCGCTACTTTTTGTCATTTTTGTTGGTTGTCTTTTTTTTTTTTTTTTTGAGAAAGAGAGAGAAAGAACACTTAGTTGGATAGGCAGGAAAGTTGGGAGGTTCTGGGAGAGGTTGAGGTAAGGAAAGAGTATAATGAAGACATATGAAAAATGAAGTACCACTTAAAAAATGAAAATGTCATAGTTAACCATTTCTTCCTTTGAGTCACTTAGGATATCTTTGAGGCATTGCTAGATTCTGTTCTGGAGAAATGGTCCATTATTCAGTTGGCTGGTACACAGTTACACAAGGAATGCTGTCCCTCCCATATTTTAAGCCTCTAACACAGTGTCTTGTGTATAAAAGGCATTCAGTTTATTTCTGGTCAATCTTAAGGGTGTGCTGAGAACAGCTGGAAGGTTGGGTGAAGGAATAAACAAAAGTAGAAGTCTGTAATTGAGATTCATATTCTTTTAGTTCATAGTTCTGAGAAATAATAGCTAATTTAGAGCATTATTAGAATGCACAAAAGGCCTTAGCAATTAAATTGTCAAAGGCCCAAGGGCTAATTTTAATTTTCTACTTTACAAATTATTAACTTCTTATATGGTATTATTGATGTATTAACTCTGAATGTTATTTCTGGAATCATCTGCCTTATGTAATTGCATAAAGCTCTTTGCTTTTCTTTATTTTAAGGAGGGTCTCCCTCTGTAAGATTGTATGTTTTTCTTGTAGTTAGCTTTTATGTCACTATAAAACATGTTTCTTAACCTGGCACTAGTAAATACTATACAGAAAGAAACTAACACATTTCATGGGTAGCACTAATATGATGAAGAAAGGTTTTTAGACTGTAACAAGCCACCCTGTAGCAAAGGAGAAACTAGAAAAGATGTAGTGTTGGATTCTTCTAAGTGTCTCACAATATATTATGTAAAGGAAACCTTTTTGGAAATAGAAATCTTGTTCTCATGTATAATTATTTGATAATAAAGTACTTACTTGAAGATAGAACAAATTGTCTTTTTAAATTATTGAACAACAAAAAATAAAGTATCAACCTTATGTCTCACAGGCTTATAAAAGTCCCTTTTATGGTCTGTACTTGTTTTGTTAAAAAGCAGATATTTAGATGTCTTATAGCAAAGTTGACACTAAGACATAAAGGGTTCCTATTTTTTAAAATCTAGTTATTAATTTTATTGCCCTTGTTGGTGGCTGTTGGTAAGGTTACTGTATTAGTCAGGGTTCTCTAGTCTCAGAACTTACAGAATAAATATGTGTGTGTGTGTGTGTGTGTGTGTGTGTGTGTGTACGTGTACATGCATTTTATTTACAGGATGCAGTCCAGCTAATCTAACAATGGCTAGCTGTGAACAAATGTCCAAGCACTCAGTGCACAGGGCTGGGTGTCTCAGCTGGTTTCTATATATGCTGGAATCCCAAAGTAGACTCCAATGCCAGTGAAGGAATGGATTTGCTAGCAAGGCAAGCAGGCAAGCAGGCAAAGAGCAAAGCTTCCTCCTTCTTTGTCCTTATATAGACTTCCAGCAGAAGGTATGGCTCATATTAAAGGTATGTCTTCCTTTAATGTCTTCCTGCCTCAAAATCCAAATTCAAGGTCTGTGTCTCCTGCCTCGAGATCCACATCAAAGTTGTACATCTTCCTACTTCAAAGGTTCAGACTAGAAGTGGATTCACTTACTTCAAACTAAGCAGATAGATAGTCTCTCACAGGTGTGCCCTTCCATTTCTGGATTATAGTTCATTTCAGATACAGTCAAGCTGACAACGAAGAATAGCCGTCATGGTTACTGTTGCTGTGATACCAAAGGAAACTCGGGAAGGAAAGGCTTTATTTCAGCTTGCAATTCTCAGAGCAGGTTCTGAAGTAGAGGCCATGGGAAGGGGTGCTTCTTACTGGCTTTCTTTCCATGGCTTACTCAGCCTGCTTGCTTATATAACCCAAGACTACTTGCCCATGGTGGCATGTCACACAATGGCTTGGGCACTCCCAGACCAATCATTAAAAAAAATATCTTAGGCATTTCCCCAACTTCAAGTCCCTCTTCCTAAGTAACTCAAGCTTGTGTCAAGTTGATATAAAACCAAACAGGATAGTCACTTGTTTTGAAGACGTACTTTTTTTGCACAGTTTTACAATTTTAAGTAACAACTGAGAAGGTATAAAGCTTTCCTTTGTCCCCCGCCTCACCGACGTGTTAACTTGCCACTTACAGCATCTCCCCCAGTGTGGTACATCTGTTACAGCTGATGAAAGCCTACACAACCATATCCCTTTGTGAGTCTCCCTCCTGCTGTTGAACATTCTGTGGGTCTGGAAAACATCCCAGCTCATTTCCGTAGATACAGTACACATAAATGGCTGTGATTTACCTATCCATTCCCTTTCTCCTCCCCCAATCCCTGGCAACCACTGGACTTGTAAAAACTGACTTAACATGCAGTAATATTTTCTCTGCATGTATGTAGGTGCACCACATATGTCAAAGACAGAAGGAAGGGCTAGATTCCCTGGAAGTAGAGTTGTGGATGGTTGTGAACCATGTGGGTACAGGGAACTGAATCCGGGTCCTCTGCAAGAGCAACGACTGAGCCATCTGCATCCCCACACTCTTCTGTCTTCATAAATTTACCTTTTCCAAAACATCACTGAAATCTGAGCATGCAGTTTTTTCACACTGGCTTCTTTTATTTAGTCTTAGACACTTCAGGTTCCTCCACTGTCTTTCCATGGCTTAGCAGCTTTTTAGTGCTGAATAGCACTCCAGTCTCTGGATGGACCAGTTTATCCATTCACTTACTGAAAGATAACTTGATTGCTTTTAGGATGTGGTAATTGTCAACAAGTGGCCCAACAACTGTGTCCACATTCTGTGTAGACATGTTCTCAGTTCCTTTTAGCAAATAAATCACAAGGCGTGTGATTGTGTAATATTATGGTAAAGTTACGTTTAGTCTTGTAAGCAACTGCCAAGTGGTAGGTATTCCCACTCGAAGTGGAGGAGTTGTCGTCACCGACCTTTGGTAGTGTTGGTAGTTTGGTGGTGGTCCAAATGCTGACCGTTCTAACAGTGCAGTGCTGCCACTGTCCTCCGCATCTCCTGGATGATGCATGATGTGGAGCCTCACTGCATGTGCCTATCTGCCATCTGCTGCTGCTCTGGTGATCTATCTGGATAGGTCAAAAAAAATTATTTATTTTTTGTTGAGCTTGAGAGTTCTTTGTATATTTTGGATAACAGTCCTTTATCAGGTGTATCTTTTGCAACACATTTTCCCCTCATCTTTCTATCTCCTCTCTGCCTCTTTTTTAAAATTTTTATTTTATGTCTTCTATGTAACCCAAGCTGGCCTCCCACACATCCCTTCCTGACTCAGCTGCTGAGTGCTGTGCTTACAAGCATTTGCCATCCGAGCCCGCTTTTTTCTGGTCCTGTGGTTCTGTTCTGTTTTGCACCCCTGTCTAGTGGAGGCGGCGCAGACAGCTCTTCTGAAGCTCAGTCCTACTCCTGGGGCCACCAGTCCTCACGAACTTGCTATTGTGAAAGAGCCTCCTGTCATTTAGTTCCATGTTTGGATGGATTTACTGTTTATCAACAAAGAAGGGCCTGCAGCCACCAGCTGGCAGTTAAACGGCCACCTACTGTCTCATCTGGATCTTTCTTTGTGCCTACTGTGCGAGTAACAGGGTCTCCTAAAACACACAATTTATTAAACAAATTCATTTCACAAAGATTGAGGCAAAAGGGAACAGAATTAATATATATGTATGTATAAAGAAATAATGTAATGTCTATTATATATATGTTATATATGTCTATGGGCCTAAAAGCACATCTCTGTAATTCTGAGGATCATCAGAATGAATGTTAGGAGAAAGCTCATACACAGAAAACAGCACAGAGACCATATCACACCAATAAGGCTCTTAACAACTAGTTTATTTTAAAATAGACAAACTATTATAGAAAATAGGAACATAGCAATTTTGAATGTATAGTTTTAACCAGTACAAAAACAAAACCAATAGTGCAGTGTCTGCAGCCTTAAGAAATCTCAATACAGGATCTTTGAAAATTCCTATAATTCTGTCACTAATTCTAACTTGAATTTACTAGCAAAAGACCTAGAAGTATGGTAAGCCCTTGACCTAAAACCTAACTAATCTGTAAGATGTTCATGCAAAACTTAATGAAGAAATGGAAAAAGCTGTCTATTGCTTTTGTTATCAAGATAACTAGCAAACTAGTAAAATCGAAACTAAACTGAGAAAATAGAAGTTTGTTTTCTAACAAGACCAGATTTCTTTTCAAAAAGTATGAAGTTTAGAAAAATGATTTTCTTAAATGCTAGCTGATGCTACCTTAAATATCACCTATTTTAAATTATACCATCTCTAAATAAGTTAATCCCACAAGATAATTTAAATACACCTTTAGGTGGAGGGGTAAAGGGAGTGCCTCTTTTCAATGCAGCTATTTTAATATGAAGCTTTTGCACAGAATCAGAACATTAACTTATTTATAAACACCTTTGATTACTAGCAGTAATGTTGGACTAGAAATAGTGTGGCTTTGAATGAGCCAGTGTTATTAGACCAGATTGACTTTAAAAAAAAAAAGATAATTGCCAGTTCAAAAGATACCTGGAAGACATGTACCATTCCAGAGAAAACACAAACTGTCCCAAATTTAGAAGAGTAGAATAATTGTTGAGGTGCAATTAGACACTTCTATGGAGGAAAAAAAATGAAGGCTCCTATAGTTAACAGTCTGCTTGTGGAACAAAATTAATTTGTATCTTGATTCTTCAGGACCCAAAAACATTAGAAAGTGCACTTGGGTTGTACTGTACTAGGGTCCTCTGCAGCACAGTTGCGGCCAGACTGGACTTTCAAGTACTACATGGGTACTTACAAATTCAGTAATCTGAATGATTAAAAGGAAAAAAAACCTGGAGTATTATCAATAATCTTCAGTTAAAGCATGAGTTGGATGAATAAAGAATCAATTATTACAGGTTCTGAGGTATGAAATCTGTGTCAGTAGTAAGACAGTATCATATGTTTATCCTTTGTTTTTCTGCTTGTATTTCAAAGGTAAAATATGTAAAACAAACACACAGCACATTAGATTCTAATATTAAAACAAGCCCAATGTGTAGAAATTAGTACTTTTCTGCGGTTTGTAACAATTTGTGTCAGTAGAAGATTCAAGATAATTTGGTTGAATGTGGACAGTCAGTCAACTTGCATCTGGAAGACAGGACACATTTTCTAAGGGTATTCACGTTAAATTAAAAATACATATAAATTAATAAAACCAAGAGCAAACATCACACATGTGCCACGAGGAAAGGCAAAGTAGTCAGCCAGGCATAAGGGGTTGTAGGACCCCTCTCCAGAGGCAGCCTCACTTCTGAGGGCAGCAGGCTCACGTTGGAAATGCAAACAGTCTGCTTTCATGTTTTAAATGGCATGATCTGCACAAGATTCTCAATCCTGTGTACTATCAATTCTATACCATTGATTACAACATTGAAGTGGCTTAGGAATCATCCACACAAATATTCAGCTTGTACCTGCACATTTTATATCTATAACATGAGTAAACATGGCCATTAGCAGAACCTGGGAACTACAGTCACATCCATGAGACATGAGTCAGGTGTCCCCCAGGGTCCACAGTGTTCAGGGTCCTGAGATCCTCACTTTTCTTCCTTGTTTGAGATATCCATGATCTCATTCATTTTCTGTTTTTGCATTCGTGTTCGAGTAGAAGCTGAAAAAGCAACAAAGAATACTGGTAGTGTTGAGGATGCTGGGTAAGTGGACCAGGGGCTACTGTGTCTGCCATGCTCATGTCAAGTAGCTGGAGCTCTGACCCCTGCAGTAAGGGTGTTTTTATAAAGGTTTCAACAGGGGGTCTTGGACTCATGCTTCTCCTGTCTAGTGCTGGGATTAACATGTCTACCTAACTTTTTAAAAGCCAGATTTCCCCTGTTAAATTTTTTTCCTCAAGCTATACCACTAGAATGTGTCTGTCTGTCTGTCTGTATGTCTGCTTTGTATGTGCGTATGTATAAATTATAAAATAAATCTGGGAAGAGTTGGAGAAGGGTGAAATCAAAACATACAATATTCTCAAAAATTAATATATATATTATGTGTACTTCAAATAAAAAATTTAAAAAGTACCATTTTCTTTGTGACCCACCCCCAATACACCATGTACATTCTTACATGTTCTCCATTGCAAACCACTAGTCAGTCTAAGGACACTGAAGTCAAGTTTGGCCACTTACTAGGGCCACAATTCCTGCCCTGCAGACTGAATGCTATATTTCCATAATGGTAGCCATTCCCCTAGCCCCAAAACCTTTTTTTTTTTTCTTTTTTGAGACAGTTTAAACTGGGCATGGACATTTTAAAAATGAATTATTGTTAATTATAATATGATTAAAACCAGAAATTACTAAAAACGAAACAAAAAAACTACTTTTGACTTTACACATGAAAATCATTATGCTCTTAGGGCTGGAAAGATGGCTCAGTGATTAAAAGCACATGCTGCACTTGTATACACCATTCCCAGCACCCATGCCTGGTAGCTTACAGCTAAATGTATAAATCCACATACATACATACATACATTAAAAAATAATTAAATTAACTAAAAAAGCAAACAAATTCTTGACTTTACAGGCAGACATTCTTCATTTAAAACCTACAATTAGTCCTCTGGGCAAGATTCTCCATTAAATCCCCAGCATAAAAACAAACTACAATTATTCACATTGTCCCAAAATGACCTTGAACTTTTGATTTTCCCATCTCTACCTCCCAAAGTGCTGGGATTAGTGAGTACCACACCTGGTTCAGCACAGAGTTGAGGATGAATCTGGCAGAGCGCTTGCTTAGTTTGTCCCTAATTTTCCAGTTGCAAAAGCACCCTGAACTTCAGCCTGCCAGAGGAGACTGGAAATCGTATCTTTGTGTGTTACCAGGAAGTGTACTGACTATAGCTACAGACCAGACTTCTTCTCTAAAAAAAAAAAAGACATCATCTAACAGCTTTCTGCCCCTTGTAACGTGTGTTTGTGGGCTCCAAAAATACTTGTAAGCATTCCAAGGCTTGTATTTGGTTATAAGTGCCCTATCCTTTACATGTACCTTGTAGTGGTGGTGGTGGTGGGGGGGGGGGGTGCTAACTAATTTAAAAGATAAAATAGAAATGCATTAATTGATATAACTAATATTCCCTACACTTGGTATATTTAACCTTGGTTCAGACAACACACTTAAGGAAAAAGGCTTTTAAAATCAGCCAGAAGTACAGTTCTGCTGTGTGCTTTCTTTTGCTGCTGGCATCTCCAAAGCCTGGCTGTAAGTCCCCATCATACTCACTGGCACTACCCCCCAGCAGCCTAAGCCAACCAGAAACAGTCAGCAAATACTGCCTTCCATCTACTTCATTTTGTATAGTCTCATAATAGCTTAGGGTAAAATTTCATTTGTCTTAATATTCCAAAAATGATTAACTCACTTTATTGTGTGTATACATATGCCTGTCTACTGCAATGCTGAGGACTCAAGACCTGTGCACACTAGGCAGTAAACACTCTGCCACTCGGTGACAACCCATGACCTTACCATTCTAAATTCCTGTCACACATACATTTGGAAAATGACCTGATCTTAATTTTTCAAAATTCTGATTTCCATTAATGAAAAACTTTGTTTGAAATGGTCTCAATTCTTGCAGATTAAGGGAGTTCAACAAACCCAGGGTAGTTTGCCCATGCTCCATGGACGGCCCTAATGTGTGCACACCACCAGCACAGACTGGACTGACTCCGTAGATATTATAAAGGAAGGGGAGATGAAGTTGGGAGTATAGTCTGAGTGGAGTGGCCTGGAAGAGGTAGATATGATTAAAATACATTGTATACATGTATGAAATCTCAAAAAATCATTTTGAAACGACAGTTCAACATCAGTGTAAGACTATTCAAAGGCTCTTGGGAAGTGTGCTGACGATCTTCACTTGGTAGCACACACTTAGTCCACCAATGTGAGAGGTAAATATATACTCCTGTTTGAACTGTATTTTAAAAGCATAAATAACTCTTCCATTGAAGGGCTAATGTGTGGATTCCTTCATAGAGTGAAAAGGTTTTCTTCAATGAAAGCAGCGGCTTCTTCCCTGTATGCAAACTCGGGGAGTGAATACTTACTCATTTCTGCCAGTTTCTGTTGAAATTTGGACTCTGCTGGGAGATGTTTACTGCAGATGGGAAAAAAAAGCATTTCAAAAGCATACATACAACTTCCTAGTAAATTAGCTTTCAATGACATTTTATGATATTATTTTGGTTTAATTTCAAAAGCTTCCAAGTGATCTAAAATAAATATGTCCCAAATTTATGATCCTATAAATTTTTAATGGTTCTTATAAAGCACAATATTTAGTATTTTTCAAGAGGAAGAATTTTTAAATTTCGTGTTAAAACTAACATTTGTATCAACAGCCATGTAAGAGCACATGCAGACTTCTAATAACTGAGTCGTCACTAATTTCCACAGACGGCATCGGATTTCCATGGTGCTTCCCATTTCACCACTCCCACTCGGTATGTTTTTTACCTTGTTTTTTGAGACAAGGGCTCATTGTGTAGCTGTAGCTGCCCTTGAACTCGCAGAGATCTGCCTGTCTCTGCCTTCCAAGTGCCAGGATTAAAGGTGGGCTTCACCCTGGCCCACATCTACTCTTGTTTAGCTGTTCTCACAACACAGAAAACTGACTGGACAAGGACCGAGGGACTCAGGACAGTGCTGAGACTCAAGCATCTCCATGGTTCCTACCTCCCGTCTGCCTCATCGGCTCCCTCGATGTCAAAGCGGAGCTTTTTCAGTGGTTTCGGAGGGTTGCCGCCTTCAGCACTTCTTTTAAGCACTCGGTCACTATTACACACCATCTGGTTTATTTTCTGGAACTTCTCAGATGTCTACAATTTACAGAGTTCTTATTTAAAATCATTAAATAACAACATTTTGAAGTTAGCAGCTGCAAATTTTATTTTGAGGTATGTCAAAAGTCAGGCAGAAGTAATCTCTTAATTTTAATTCTCTGTCTTACTAAAGGAGAGATTTTAAAAGAATTAACAGCTATGCCAATTCTGCCTTCACTAAACACCCATTCCTCCCGAGTCCTCCCATCTTCTTCAAGCAGCTCTGATTCTTTGTCATCTTGTGCTATCACACACTGGCTCAGCCTGTGGCCTTGCTGGGACTCACCCACATGGGAAACCAGGGCCTTTTCACAGAAGCAGCAGAGCTAGGTTAGATTTCTGGAAATTTTAATTTTATATATATATATATATATATATATATAATTTATTTATATTTTTATATAAATAATTTATTTAGAGTATTACATAATCAGAAGGAAGGCCACAAAGCACTGTCATTTCTTGGGTGTGTTGACACATCATATGTTGATGTATTACAAATCAGCACTGATAATGGCATTTGTTGAAATGTTGATAATTCATAAAGGTTTTTAACTTCAATAGTCAAAGACTTCACAATTTTAGTCTAAGTAACATGATAACGTGAGCTTGGTAAGAAGTGTGGCAGCACACTACCCCATCTTACTCCGTAGATAAGTATGTGAAAACAGTCCATCTCTTAGCTTCCTTTTCAAGACTGTCTCAGACATGCAGATTACATGTTACTTGAGTCAACAAATGAAGTCAGATTTTCATATAGAGGTTAAACGTGATCTTTTTGGTGCATTAGACAGAATCAGCTTCATTTGATGAAAATATACTTATAGTACATATCAGCACAGCAGGAACTCAGTCCCATGGTCCCATTAATATCTAGACAAATAGACATTTTCTTCACTGTTTTACAGGGTGCAGTAAGCAAAAGGCTTGATGACCTCTGTTCACAGCTGCCCCGCTCCAGCTGTGCTTGCACGACTCCACAGCTCCTTCGTGAACCCTGGCAGCTGTAGCCTATCCTGAGTCAGACGTCACAGAACTGAGTATCTGTAAAACTGACTTTTACACTTCATTTAGCATACTTCAACCTACCTCTAGAGCGATGGTTCTCAACCTTTGGGTTACGGCCCTTCAGGCAAATTCCTATCTCTAAAAATATATACATTACAATTCATAACAGTAGCAAAATTACAGTTATGCAGTAGCAATGACAGTAACCTTATGGTTGGGGTTGGCACCCCATGGGGAACTGTATTAAAGGGCTGCAGCGTTAGGAAGGTTGAGACCCACTGCTCTAGAGTGTGCCTTCATGCACGCACACACCTGTTCTCCCTTTCCCCTCCTTTTCTCTTTCTCTCCCTTGTTTTCCCCTAAAACAACGTTTTTGCTATATATCCTATGCTGGCCTACAAATCACTGTGTAGCCCAGGCTAGCTACAGTCTCTTTTTAATTTTTTTCTTTCATTGGACATAGATATTGTTCCTGCAATGTGTTTTTATCAGTCTCACCTCCCCCAATTTCTCTGAGATTTCTCCCATTTTTCCTTCAACTGGAATTCATCCCTTTTTGTCTCGTTAGGAAACAAACACACATCTAAATAATAATAAAAATTTCAGTAAGATGAGACAGACTAAGAATAGGATAAGCAAACAGGAGAAAAAGAGCCAAAGAAAAAACACAAGGCACACAAATACATGCAGAGACACACATTTGTACACATACGAATGCCCTAAAAACACAAAACTGAAAGCTGTAATATATACATAAAACACCTATAATGTTAAAAAAAAAAAAAGAAACCCTATCAAAACCTTATGAGACAAAGAACTTCCATTTTGTGTAAATCATCTGCTGCTGGGCATGGGACCTGCCTTTAAGAGTGGTTTGTATCCCCAGACAGACTCCATTAGAGAGAACTGATTTTTCATTTATGAGTAGACACAGATTCTTAATCCCCCTGCCTGTTTCCCAAGTGCTAAATTTACAGATATTTATCATTGGGTTTGGCTCATCATGAAACCAATTATTTAAAAACAAACTTGTATGATTATTATTATGTGTGCAGGATTGCGTGAATGTGGGCATATGTACCATGGTGCACATGCCGAGGTCAGAGGACTAACTTTTGGAGTCAGTTTTCTCCTTCCACCTTCTCTGTGGGTTCCAGGGATCAAATCAGGCCACTAGGCTTATGCAGCAAGTGCCTTTACCCTTTCCACCATCACACCGTCACAGTCCCTTGTCTACCAGAGAAAGACTAGCACTGAGAGGAAGGAAGAAGGCAGTGGGAAAGGGGTGGAGAGAACCAATGGCTGGATGAGCATTAGAGCACTGTATGTGTGCAAGGAGACCAGGAGCTAGAGACATGCTGCTAATGTGTGGAGATGGTGCTTCATTCCAGATTGCCTCATTTCAAATTCTGAGTTACTGATTTTCAAAACACTGTGTAAACATTTATATGAGATTATATACATACATGTGTACCATGTGGCCTTTGTCTTCCTGCTCCCTAAAACCCTTGGAACTTCCTGAATGATAAGGATGATAGGCCATCTTTTGTTCTAATAGAGAGACCCCTTATGGGCCCCTAGATAGCATCAGCATGGGGTCAGAGTGTCAGAACGATAAGCCATGGTTAGAAGTTGAGAATGTTCAACTATAGTTCCTAACCTCTAGGGTGGGGAAAGTCAGTAAGGATTTATGAGTACAAAATGAAATCCTTCAGCATCAGGATTGGAATAGCTCTTGACCTGCTACCTCCACAGGAACAGGTTATGGACCCCAGTGGACAACACCCTTATGTGTCTCTTCATCTGGGGCTTATCTGTATCTTTTGTTAAACTGTTAATAGTCAGTAAACCATTTTCCAGAATTTGCAAATATTCTAGCAAATGGTCCAACTGGAAAGGAAAGAAGTTACAGGGATCCTCTGACTTTTAGCCAATTTGGATGGAAAATTTGTGTAACCCAGGAACTTGCCACATTTGACTGGCATCTGGGAAAAGTTAATGACCTCAGCCCTGGGACCTGTGGAATCCAAAGACAACTGGGTAATCAAGTCAAACTGAACTGAACTGGGTGACACCAGCTATGTATAGGATTGGAGAATACACATTTCATTTTAGGAGTACTGTGAGCATAAAAACACTTTGTATGTGTATATAAATGACTAATTACATATATATTACATAATCTCAGAGAAATGTTTAGAAAACAATTTGGAAGGTCATCAATTATGAATATTATTCAAAGTTAAACCTGATTTGAAAATAAATTCAGATGGCTTTCTTAATTTTATATAATATGACTAGAGGACATATCTGGACAATTATACCTATAAGCTCAAATTATGGAAATCTTCCATTTCTTTTATAGCTGCAATATAAATCACCGATGTTCATATGCAGATGTCCGACAACAAAACACCAAATAAAGGAAGATGTAGGGGCACACAGAATATTTGCATCATATTGCCCAGTATATTTTGTATAACAATCTATGACATCATTTTTCATAGAAAGAAATACTCACCCCAAAGGATTCACCAATTGAGACCAAGATTCTGTCAAGTTAAGATAAAATGTGAGTTAGTCGTGAAAACTAGACACAAACTGTGCAGATGTGCAGAGATGAGCATAGACACATCATTCTCAACCACCAGAGATCAAAGGTTTTCTGTCCCTGAAATCACTGACACCTTACATCCATTAGGGATTATTGGACTAGTGCTAGTGTGATTAAAACATAAGTAGTCAGGTGGTTTTCTGTTTGTTTGTTTGTGGTGCTGAGGATCAAACCCAAAGCTTCAAATATGCTAGTCATGCATTCCCACTGAGCTATGCCTCCAGACCTCTTAGATTTGCAACAATAACTCTAGGTTTGTAGAGCATAATTCTGCCATGGCCCACATTTATAGAGGAGTTTTAGAAAGTTTTAAGATTATCTTTACTTAGTTCTTCATAAGTCAACAAATGTAACCTCATTCTAATTTAAGTTGCATTTGATACAAACTTCTAAGTCCCCAGGAAGATGGCTCAGCACGTGAAAGCACTTGTAGCCAGGCCTGATGACTTGAGTTCAGTCCCTGAACTCAGAGGAGAGAATTAGTCCAACAAGTTGTGCTCTGCCCCCACACATGCACAGTAACATGCCTGGCCCCCAAGAATTAAAATAAATATGAAACAACACAATAACAATAACAATTTAAGAATTAAGAAGGTCTGGTGAGATGGCTCAGCAGGTAGATACTTGCTCCACACATCTGAGTTCCAGCGCCAAAACTCACATAGAAAGGTGGCTAGAGAACAGACTCTACAAAGCAGTCCTCTGACCATCGCGTGTGCCATGGCATGCGAGCCCCACTCCCCTCAATAAATACAATTTAAAAATTTATGTTTACAAAGTAATAATCAGACTTTAATTAGGATTTATATTGGTATGCAGTAAAAGTTATTTTTATGTATTCTATAATCAGAGATCCTTGTTATTCTATTTGTCTTCATTTCAAATATATCATTTATGGTTTGGTTTGGTTTCTCATTACAGGGGTTGAAACCGGGGCATTTGTATATGTTAGGCTAGTGCTCTACCACCAAGCTACATCCCAACCATTCTCCTGACAAGGTCTACTGAGCTGCCCAGCAGGACCTGAACTTGTGATACTCTGTCCTCAGCCTCCTAAGCAACTGAGACCACAAGTCTATGTTACCAGACTCAGTTATAATTTATATTTTTGATAATGAAGTTGAAAAAGTATTTTTTTGTAGGCCAATAAAGATTTAAAAATATACATATGGAAATAGTAGCTATGTAGATTTTATTGCCATCCATTTTCTTGATAAGGGACATCCTTCCATGTACATTTGATTAATCAGAATACCTAAATATGCTGCATGAACAGAATGCTACAATTCTCTAGAGCCTCATCAGTGACTGGCCAATTAGGATGTTCACAATGTGGCTTCTTCCTAAAAGGAGCCCCAAAGCATGCTGGGCACGGTGGCTCCCCTGTAACTGAAGCACACGGGAGCTGAAGCAGTAAGACTGCTGTGAATGTGAGGCGATCCTGGGCACACACTGAAAGATCTAGCTTCAAAGAGGAAAAAGGAAACATGCAAACAGGAATCTAGACACACACACAGGAGCTTTCCACTTCCAGTTATTTTCCCACTTCATATTTTTTCTACAGAGTTTGCAATTTTAATCCCAAGTGTGCATTACTCACGTAATTAAATGTACTACTCAGGTATTTCCTAAAAAGCTAATAGAGCCCTTTTCTCATTTGTTTTTCTTGCCAACCAGGTACAAACTACATGTACTGAGAATTTCTGATGAGGCTGCATTAATTATACTAGTTAAATGACCTCCTACTTTATAAACATTAAGCCAATTTCAAATAGCCCATGATAACACATAATTAGTCAAATGAAGGACTTCAAAGCCAAAGATACGATTTGTCATTGTACAAAATCTTTCATCTGAGAATTTTAAACAACTTCACATTCATGTTGCTGAGCCAGAGCCCTTTTGAAACAGAAATTCCCAATGTAATGTAAGAAATATACCAACAGAATTAAGAAAGGTGGGTTTTAATTGACAATAATCTACACTTAATAAGAACTCTTCATTTAAAAAATTTATTTACTTATTATTATTACTGTGTGTGTATATGATCTGTGTGTGTGTCAATGTGGGCAAGCATGTCAAAGTCAGAGAACAATTTTGGGAGGCTGGTTCTCTCCTTCTGTCATGGATCTAGGAATCAATCTCATTATTAGGTTTGTGTGGCAAGTACTTTTATGGGTGGTCCATGTTGCCAGCCCAAGCAAAATACTAAGATCCATAGAGTTTACAGTAAATTTAGAATAAAGAATCTGGGCATGATGACACATGACTTTAATCCCAGCACTCAGAAGTAGAGGCAAGTAGATCTATGAATATGTAGCCTGCCTGGTCTATATAGCAAGTTCCAGGCTAGCCCAAGGGCTACATAGTTGAGACCTTGCTTAAATTAAGTAAGTAAGTAAGTAAGTAAGTAAATAAATATATATATATATATATATATATATATATATATTTTTTTTTTTAAGCTAAAATGATCTACTTCAATGGCTTATAAAACTATTAGTGATTTAGCTGAGTGGTGGCAACACACACTTTTAATCCCAGCAGGTGGGAGGCAGAGGCAGGTGGATCTCTGTGAGTTGTAGGCCTGCCTGGTCTACAGAGCCAGTTCCAGGACAGCCAGGGCTGTTACACAAAGAAACCTTATCTTGAACCCCCCAAAACAAACAAACAAAAAACCCACAGAAACTATTAGTGTTTTGAAGATCACATAACATCGGCTCTTAAATTATGTACACAGGGGACCTCAGCAGCTGGGCAAGTCCATCGAAGTAAATGCATTTCTTTCTCCCCAAATTCTTGTCGTACATTTACTTAAGGTACATAAGGAAATTAGATACCCAACAGCCTAGCCCATTCTAAACAAAGAAAGTTTTGCATTTTTATGCTTCAGTCAAAATTATCAATGTAAATGGTATTTTTTTTTTCAGCATTCCCTTAAAAAGGAAACACCAACCTTGATCTTGGAGTCATTTTTGTGGGTGTTGGCAGACCTTCTGAAATTTTATAAGGACTCTTTAGGGGTGATATATAGATGTTACCTCCAGGAATCCGTAAGGGTGAACTAGAAAACTTGTAAGGGCTTCGAGGAATGTGAGGTATTGGTGACAAGGTAGGAGGCTAGAGACAAAACCAAAGGAAAAAAGGTAATTGATCCAATGTTTTGGTGGGGATCCATTACTTTGTCACTAGATTTCCCCAATCAAAGGATATTTTCAACATACCCTGGTGGAGGCATACTGCAAAATATTTGTTTTTAGTCTCTGCATGAAAACTGAGTTGTAGAATACTATAATGGAATCAAACTCCTCTTCTCTGATCAAAACACGTTTAAAGGTCTGAGGAAAAATAATAAAAACATGTTACATGAATTTAAGAACTTGTCTCTAAATTTTCTTTTAAAATAGTTTGTACATAGTTTTATAAAAACCACATTTTATAAAGAAAACAATAATCTGAAAAGGCTTCTTTAGATTTAGATTATATATTCAAAGTGAAATGTCACCAAGGTGATCCAGAGAAAGGGCCTGATAGCCGGATGGAAAGCTAGCCATCCTACAAGAGTTAGATAGGCTATGCTGAGCTCAAGTTGACACCATAACCCCCAGTATGCAGACGACATTCACTGGCCTACAGCAGCCCCCTAGTCTAAAGGGTTCAGGAAGTGTGCACTACTCCCTTACAAGAAGCAGACCTTTAATATCAACATTTATTATGCAACTCCATTTTATTTTATTTGTTCATTTTTTATTTTTATAAGCAGGATCTAGCTATGTAACTCCATACTCATTATGTCTCTTTCTCACTTAGCATTCCAAGTGGGAATTGTAGGCCTGAGCCACCATGTCCAACTGATGAAACAATAGCCCAGGATTCCCTGCTGTGCTCCAGGATAGTGTGAAATGTGTGTCATATGAAGTGTGTTTCATCATGATGGCCTCTCTGTGGTAGAGGAAACTAGAGACACAAATGGGCTTGCAATGGAAAATTCTATTATGTCTTTATAAAGATTCACTTATACTGTCTTTTCCATGGAAAAATAAAAACTAATATACTACAAAGTTTATTTCAAATATCCTGGTTATTACTATATATAAATATAGTATTATTTATGAACTTCAAGTGTGTATTTATACTTCATAGTTTGTCATATTTTTCTAATTTCACTTTAGCTGCAAATAACTAACCAACATTATAACACTAAATCAGAATATATAATCTCTAATTAACAACTGACATCAATTATGAACATTGATTTATTTTTTAAAGTCTTACCATGAGAGATTACTTACCTCCTGGACAGCATGAGGAAGATCCTTGTATGCTGTTACAATGATTTTGAATTTAAGGTCTATGTTCTTCACTTTGCAGATGCCATACATAGAGCACATCATAATCTAATAAGGAAGTGTGACAGAAGCACTCAGAACTTTAGTATATCTTTCTTTGGGCCTTAAAAGAAAGTAGTTTAATTTCTTCTAAGTTTTTTCACCTATTCTGAGCTTGATTTAACCTGAAGTCTATGTAAGATGTTTAACCAAAACATCTGTATTTACAAAACAAAATGAGAGCAGCTAACTCATTTATTCAGTACTAACTACCCAGTTTGTTAAGTTACCCTGACTGTAACTCCAGCTCTTTAATCTTTATCAAAAGTGTTGAAACTAGAACAGGCTAATTGTATGATTAGTACTTTTTTTAAAAGGTTGTATGAAAAAGTTTCAAGTTATCCAGTGAAGTAACATGTAATAATTTGGTATGTACAGACGTGCTGATGACAGAAACCTAATACTGTTAACCGTGCTCTGACTCAATCTGAATGTAGGTTAGATTAGTTTTGTTGTTGAATTTTCATTAGGCTATATCACTATGATAAAAAGATTTTCTACATGGTATCATTCAATAAAACTATTTTAAATGCAAAACTAAGATTTGAAAATGATTCTCTGTGGCCTTAAATATCAATTTTTAAAATCTGTATGAACTTTTCCCCCTAATTCAAGTATTCATCATTCTGCAACATTTTGCTGACATCTGCTGTTACCAAGGATTCCTGTTCACCATGTCCTGCTCAGTGTCTTACAACTGAGCCTCACACTGAGAATGCCATTTATGATGCAGTGTGCCAATTGATATTTTTCTTCTCCTTTAAAGTATTACTCATAAAAATCTGAGCAAAAATAAGCAAAAAGCTTATTCTCCAGGAATCTGATTGTCTGTGTTATCTCAGCAGCTTCACCACTGAGCTGCATCACCAGCCTTTTTATTATTTTTACTTTGGGACAGGGTCTAGTAAGTTACCCAGGCTGGCCTTGAACTTGTCATGTAGTACTGGCAGTCTTCAAATTTGTGAGTCTTTAGCCTCAGCCTCTTGAGAATAGTTGTGATTACAGGCATTATGTCACCACTCCTGGTTAGATCAGTTGGTTCCTAGCTCATGTTATTTCTACACTACAATGAAATCTAGCTTATCACAATATAGAAAAGGCTTATGCTAAGTGAGTTACTTGGTAATTTTTTAAATAAATAATGTCTGTGTCTTAATTAAAATATACATATAAAATCTAAAGCTCTGATTTGTTTGTAATCAGAGCTTTAGATTTTAAAGTACAGTAAGAACTATAGCAAAAAAAATATAAATGGCACCCAAGAAGTGATGAAATAGATTACTAAACTAATATAGCTGTTCACTTGAATCCAGTCTTTAATGGAAATCAGCACACAGTTAACAGTAAGTAGGAAGATATGACGGTGAAATGATTGACTTTCTTCTTACCTGGTCCAAATGCCGGTCTTTCATGAGCTCATACTCATTTTGCAGTGTGTGCTGAAACAGAGTCCAGATAATATGCTCTAGTTCTGGATGCTCAGACAGAAGGCGTGCACATAGTGTATTTAATCGGAGATATGCTAGACGGTACACTGCAGACATAAGGGGAATGAAGTCTGTTTACTGTTCATTTTCAATTATGAGTGGATTTTTTCAAACATTAAATTCCTTTATAATATTGTAAGTAGCATTTTAATAATAACTTAGCCTCTAAGACTATTTTCATTATGAATAAATGATTCCTAGTATTAGCAGTGTTACAAACACAAGGCTCAATAATACTTGCTGAATTGGCTATTACATTATGAAACTGAGGCAGAGAGGAAAGGTCATATGATATTGTGAAATTAGGTAAACCAAATAAGATTTGCTTTGGTTCTGTTGGTAATCACTCATCATAGTTGTTGGAAATTTCCATTAACAATATTAGAGAGATTATTTTTAAAATAATGAAATTGCAAGTGATTATTCTTTTTTCCAACCTTAAGAAAAAAATTCCATGCATTTCTCTATAAATACCAATGGAGCATACTCTTGAAAACTGTAAACTCTATCAGTGCAATATGACCATGATAGGAAGTTTAGTTTAATGGTACCACTACAAATATGACTTCAGAGAAAAGGAATCTGTATTTTTATCCATTTACTTTACATGTAAAGACCCATGGTTCAAAATGTTCCTTTACAATCTTGCATAGGGTAAACAGAACTTTTCAAAGCTAACAACTTATCCCCAAAGGTCTGAAACTTTACTGTACATCAAGTTTTCTAGGTATACATAGATATATTTCAGTTAGGTAGGTAATCTTCAAACACTTCAAAGACCTACAGAATATGGCATTTAAAATGTTTTCAAAACCTAGACTTTTCTGGACAATGAGACACATCTGCTTTTGTAGCACCAATTACTTCAAAGAGGATGATGGGCATCGAATAAACTCATTATGGAGTTTGCTTTCTTTATGACAAAAGTTAGTCACTGGGCAAAAAAATACCCTTGCCTCAACTGCTTGACAGGATGCTGTATAAACTGGACATGCAGGAACCACAGAAAGGTGACCACTGAGAGATGGTCCTTCAGGTTCCTGCTTTTCAGAAGAGACTGCCAGACATTCTACAGAACATGGAGAGAAATGACTGACGAACTTTGCCAGAAGGGGCAGAACAGTCCTTAAAATTTCCTGCTTCACTGAAAGCTATGCCAGAGACTCTAGGCCTATAGGTTAAAAATAGATGCCCCAACGCTACAGAAAAACTTTGGATGACTGTCCAGGCAGCCAGATGTCTCTATAATTTCTAAAATTATGGAAGCTGCTTGCCATGCACTTCCTGTTTACTCAGGTAATAATATATCCTTCTGGGACGGAGTTAAAGACCAGATAGTTATAATTTTCCTTAATCATGATAAAAGATAACTTAGATATAAAACTTTAGACTCACAAAAAATAGGATAGATAGACTATTTTCTTTAATTTTGCCAAATACAAATAGACTAGATATTGTAACTGTAATTCTTGCTTGATAACTGCTTTGCTATATATAATTTTACTATGTTAAAGTTCAAACCTTCCTTTTTGATTAGACAGAAAAGGGGAAGTGCTGTGGGATGTCTTTCTATATGCTATAAATATGTGTGGCTCTCATTGGACAGTAAATAAAGCTGCATTGGCCTATGGCAGGGCAGGATGGAGCCAGGCAGAAAAATCCAAAAGCAATAATGAGAAAGGAAGGGCAGAGTCAAGGAGACACCAGTCCACTGTCAAAGGAGCAACAAGATGCCAGCAGACCGGTAACACCCAGGCCACATGGTAACATATAGATTAATAGGAATGGATTAATTTAAGATGAAAGAGCTAGCTAACAAAAAGCTGAAGCCATAGGCCAAACAGTTGGTAATTAATATAGGCCTCTGAATGATTATTTTATAAGTGGCTGCAGGACTGCGGGGCCGGGCAGGACCGAGAAACTTCTGGCTACACACCACAGATTTGTAGGGTGGACCTCGCTTTTCTACTACATCTGCATACAACTACAGAATGCTATGTAATCTGATTAGCGGATTTCTTAAATGTCCTGAATATCCAAGAAATATGTCTGTATTATCTCAACTCTGGAGAAAAATGTGAAGAGAAAAATAATATTAGTGTATTTGCAAACACTAATTTGAAGACGTAACAACAGAAACAACACTAACATAGCATTTTCTGAGTGCATACTGTATGCTAGGCCCTACTGAAAGCATTTTATATGTACTAATTATCCTCTAATTCCTCTAAGGCAATATCCTTATAGGACAGATTATTATTACTTTTTTCATATTATAAGCAAAGAAACTGAGGCATAGAGATGTTAGGTGATGTGCTCAGGGTCACATATCATAAGTACTGCAGCTATGACTCAACCTAGTAAGCCTGGTTCCAGAGTCTGTGCTCTTGAAAGTAATCTTCTACTGACCTTTTTTGTAAAACAGGGAAAGGGAGGTAGATTTCAATGGCTTCTGAGAATGGAAGGCTGAGGCTGCTTGTGTCTCTGTATTTGTAGCAGAATTTACACGTGTAGTTGAACTTCTTTTCTTTGGGGATCTTATAGGAGAAAGATACCTAGATATATACAAAGGATAAGTCTTCATTTTACACACACACACACACACACACACACACACACACACACACACACGAGTTGTGTTCGATTATATACATGTACTCAGACATGTTTTACCTATTTAATATAATACTGTATACCAAATTCAATGAGTCAGTTATTTAAATACAAGCTGAAAAAGCTAGCTTAACAGGAAAAATGTGCTACCTTTCCAAACTTCAATCTCCCTGACTTTCCTTTAGTTTATATAACTGACAGCTGTAAAATGACTTAACTTGCACACTAACAGGTCTCTCTGGAATTCCAGATGCAGATATTCAGTTATGACATGGACAGACTCTCAGACCTTCAAAGGCCAAAGCGAATTCTGGATTCCCTCACCCAGTTTTTCCATCCCAAACAAATGTCACTACATAGCATCTAGTGCTTTAAAGGAAAAGGCCTAGGAATGAAATTTAAAAATTTCTCCATCTGTCTAGTTCCTCAAATATGCTCTAAATCAAATCAATGTAAAACCTGTTATTTCTATTGCAAAATACATTCCAGACCTTTCATTTCTTTTTTTTTTTTTTTGGTTTTTTGAGACAGGGTTTCTCTGTGTAGCTTTGCGCCTTTCCTGGAACTCGCTTTGTAGCCCAGGCTGGCCTCGAACTCACAGAGATCTGCCTGCTTCTGCCTCCCGAGTGCTGGGATTAAAGGCGTGTGCCACCACTGCCCGGCGACCTTTCATTTCTATCTTTAATGTTTATGACAGACCAAGTCACCCACACCCCTCATTTAAGATGTTCAAAGTCTTCGAACATTTTTCTCCATTTTCTTGTCTTGATGCTTTCTAGCCCTCAAGTCCAACTGTACTTCAAATAGCAGTCAGAATAGTCTTTTAATACAAATTATACACAGTTGCATCTGTGTTTGAATGGTTTCTCACTACCTTATAAAAATCTAAACTTCTTATAGCTTATAGGAACTTAGAGAATCTAACCCCAGTGTACCCCTTCAACCTTACCTGTACTACTGTTACTAGGACCCATCCACCCTAGATTTCTTTCTAGTCTCCAATTTAGTCAGTTTCCCCAAACAGGATTTTCCCTGGTCAGCATTCAGTTGCCTTTCAGGTCTCTAGTCAAAATATCACTTCATCAGAAAAGGGAAGCCTCTAAATGCTCTATCACCTTCTCTGTCTTACCTTCCTGTCACTCCACTGGTTTCACTTACAGCACCAAGACTAAAATCAACTAATGGTAGTTTATTTGTTCACTGCTTCCTTCCTCCAACATACAAAGTTCTATAAGGGAGAAGAACCAGGCTATCTAATCTTACCAGTAACTGGCACTGTTAACCTAGCACTTAACAGATAATCATTTACTGACTTAAAGGAAAATATAAAGCTGACTTGTGTGAAAATATTACCGAGCAAATAAACTCATACATGAATACAGAGTCTCTGTGATCTAGAAATACTTTAGATAGACATTACCATGGAAAGGGTATCTCAGGAAAATGGTCCCTATGTTAATCATGGAATGCTATATTTCTACAGAATCAGGCAGAAATGTTAAGCACATTTCTATGAAAGGCAGTAGCTGGAAGAATTAAAAAAGCACGGGTGTTGGTAGACTACTTGGGTTCATTTCTGTTTATCTTAAGTTACCTTACTTCTCTCATTCCCATTTTACAGATAAGCGTTGCTAATGCAGTATCTTCTACCTTGTAGGGCTGGTAAGAACATTTAATGAAAAATATGAATCTGAAGTACTTATGCAAACACACAAAATATAGGGCACCCTCAATAAATCTTGTTTCTTCTCTCATTCTCACCAATACACACTAATGATGTGGAATATTCTACACTACTCTCTATACTTGTGCTATATCTCACCCCAAACGGTCTGATATATACTCTCTGAAAAAATGTTTCCTGCTTTCTGGCTGTTACATATACAAGCCAGTTTTGGCTTGTGGGACATTTCCTCTTGCTTTTCCAATTTTCATGTTGAAATCCTGTCTGATCATTAAGGCCTATCTAAAATGGCACCATCTCTGTCCTGAAAAATTCCCTATTACACCAACTCCATGTGATCCAGCAGCTTTGTAATTCTTTATATGACCTTATTTAGGTCATGCATCTTATATTCCTCTTAAAGAAAAAACAATGTCTTATGCAAAACTCCAATCCTACAGTTTCTATATAATGTTCTGCATCTCCCTTATGGTCAGTATCTTTGCAGTTTGAATGGATAATATGTGGCATTTCTACTTACATATCTGCTGCAGTGTGGTTATTCTGGAGAGGAAGGCTAAGAGGACAAGCAGACTCAAGGTGATCAGGTCCTTCTCCATCTTTGGACTGCTTAATGAGATCAAATAAAGGTGAGTCCTGGATGAAAGAAAACAGAATTATAACAATATCAGCAAGCACGTTTTTCTGAGTATATATCAAAAGCAGTTATTTGACATGATTAAGAACTATTAACTTTAGGCAGAATGAGATCCTTTACTCCATTTTGAAATTCTTGCTTGCCAATTTTGATATTGTGTGCATGAACACACAAAAACAGGAAAATATATGACCTTAAATATTCCTACAACATTGAATATATGTGTCTTGGCTTTTGACTTTTTTTGGAATATTCACTTACATATAATGAGATGTATTAGGGATGAAATCAAAGTTTAAGTACAGGATCCACTCATGTTTCAAATATCCCTTATACATGTGGTCTGGGGTAATTTTATCAACACTCAGCTTCACTTTCTGATTATGATCATCATATGAGGTAGCATCATGTTAGGATGTAACAAGTTTTGGATTTGAGGCTGGAAAACAGCCCAGAAGGTAGAATGATTTCTTAGCCTGACTCCAACCCCCCAAAAGGCTTTGGATTTTGAAGCACTTCAAATTTCAGAGGTTAGGCTAGTGATGTGTAAACTTACTAGGAAAGAGGGTAGAATTTAGGCAAAAAAACACACAAAATATTCAAAATATGTAGAGAAGAAAATAATAAGTCTATGAACAGAACTTAAAACTGAAAACAAAGATAAAATATATGGTTTTATCAACAAAGATAACAACTATTATTTAAAATAACAAACAGACCTCCAGTAAAGTTCATAAAAAGAGAAGGAAGAGCTAATTAGTGCTAGAAACTAAGAGTGGAACATCATATGAAAGATAAAAAAGATAACAGGGGACTTAAAAATAATTTTATGTTAATAAACTGGAAATCTTAGACTATGGTTTTTAAAAATCCTACAACCATGTCTCTCTCTCTCTCTCTCTCCTCTCTCTCTCTCTCTCTCTCTCTCTCTCTCTCTCTCTCTCTCACACACACACACACACACACACACACACACACACACACACACACACACACACACACACACGCAGAGGGCCCAGGTTGGTCCCATGCAGGCTCATTAACTGTTGGTCCAGAATCCATTTGCTCCCATGAGCACAGGTCAGCTGTCTCTGTGGTTTCCTCCATTATGACCTTGACCCTCCTGGCTGGGAATCAAACTTAGTTCCTCTGGATGAACAGGGAGTGCACTGAACCACAGACATCTTTCCAGTCCCCCATATGAACTTTTTACCCTCTAGAAGATCTGGAAGCCATGATACCAGATGCCTTGGACAGTGAGGCAAAAGGGGAATTAGCAACAGGAAAATTGGCAGAACTCCACCTAAGGGTAAACTAAACAACAAGACATTTGCCTCCTCTTCTACAGTGGTGAAAAAATGGAGATTTGTTGAGCATAAAACAGGACTTTTTGTCCTAAAGTCTCCAGACATAATCTAAAAAGGAACTACTATACTAAAGAAGGTAGCATTAATGAAAAGTTTTGATCACAAATTTTACATATTCCATACTGCTTCCTGTCTCCACAGCCTTGGATGTTTGAAACTATGATCATACCCTCCAGGCATGAAAACATAAGCATCAAGCTAAGTAAATGTTGACTCTAAGAGAAAAGAACTACAGATATTAGCAAACCAAAGGCTTTACAAGAGAATTATATCCATGCAAGTCACTACACAGTCAAAATCCCTTCCCGGGTAAACACAGCCTCCAGCTAACTTTCAGAGATTTACACTTACACATGAATGCCAATCAAGTATTTCAGGCAAGTTTCTACTATGAAAGTACCAAAGCAAACCAAACAAAAAGCACCTTGAAAGAAACACTTCAGGAAAGAGGAAATGTAAAAGGAAAGAAAACCCAATAAATTAAGTTAGCCAATATTCCTTTTGAATACTTACTCAAGTCTAAGTAATACAGTCCCAAACAGTATGTTCTTCTTATCATCTTAATTTCATTCACCTCATCTCAAAATACATAAAGAATTAGGTTTTTTATTGTTTAAAAGCTTTATAAAATTTATGTGTATGGGTATTTTTGCCTACATGTATACCTATATACCACATGTACATAATGCTTTGTAGAGGCTAGAAGACAGCACTTGGACCATCTAGAACTAGAGTTAGAAAGGGTTGTTACCTATAATATAAGTGTTGAAAATGAAACCCAGGTCCTCTGCAAGAACAACAAATTCTCTTAATGGCTGAGCCATCTCTCCAATTCTGGTTTGTTTTTGAGACACTCACTATGCAGCCTTGCCTGGCCTGGAACTTGCTAGTTAGACCAAGTAGGTCTTCAACTCAGACATCCCCTCTCTCTGCCTCCTGAGTTCTGGGATTAATGACATGCACCACCATACCCAGCAGGGTTCATTTTTCTTAATTGTAAAGTAGAGATATTTAGGTAAGAGTATCTAAATTAAAGTATTGTGAATTCATATGATACAATGCTAACAATTTGGACTAAGTTTTAACAAAGTGTCATATAAATATTTGATGATATTATGGTTATAGTCTTTATTTATAATTATAAATGCCATTTAAAAAGGACAGTATAACTTTTCAAATGCAAACATATACCTAATAAGCCATCCATCCACCCAGTACACATGTGTATTTTGTCCACAATTACTGATCTGTCACTCAGCATTTTCACTTTATGTTTATGTACAGTGTGAACTAATCATTCTCTACCACGAAATAACAAAAATCACACAACCTCCTTCTCCTGCCTTTCCGTGCTTGCTCCTTCCCTGTCTTGAATATTCTTTGACCAGAGCATTCCAAGGCTCAACCCACACCATATTCACACCTCCTCAAACAGTACTTCCCAAACATCTTGTCAGGAGGGTTGTAACTCCCACAGTTTTTTACCTGTAACTGCTCTCTCTAGTCTCACGGCATTGGTCATTACTTGTTACTATATTTGTTTACTTGCTTAGTAGCTATCTCTACTATAATGCAAGTTCAGGAAGTGGATTTTGTCTGTTATTCACAACAGTTATTTCTAATGTTTAAAACTGCTTTGCAAGCATTAGGGGCTGAATAAGCATTTAACGAGTAAATGAATGGAGTGAGATTAAAGTTCTTGTGAGATCAAATTCCTTGAGATTAATTCTACCTCAAAGTAAAGATAAGGTTAAAATGGAAGTTTCTTAGCTATATACTCTTCTAAATCCCTTAAACACAATTTTAAGTCAGGCGTGATGGTGTGCACCTTTAATCACAGCAGAAGCAGATGGATCTTTGTGAGTTTTTATACCAGCCTGGACCACAGACCATGAGTTCCAGGATAGCTAAGCAATACAGTGAAACACTACCTCAAACAAACAAACAAACCAATAAATAAAAAAACATTCCTTTTTTTATAATTCCCCCCACAATACTAGTCATATAAAAATTTGCATCATATCACAAAGCATAAGCATGTCAACTGTCTCAGAGTGCCTTTGCAAATATTTTCTTTAGAGAGTAAAGCACAGAGGAATACAACCGAGTATTCTGTACAACCTAGAATGAAAAGAAATTACTTTAAACTGTAAACCATCAGTCTCTGAACAAACAGCAGGCAAGTGTAAAAAGCCCTGAGGACAGTGGCCAACAAGCAGACATGCTTCCTATTCAATTCGTGTGCAGAGTCTAGTGGGAAGAAACAGAAAGTGATCAAGTAAGAAAGTAACTTTGTGACTACAAATTCAGAAAGTGCTATAAAATAACAGCAAATATCTGTAAAATAAGTACAACTTTACAGTGCAGGGGGAATAAATACTTGAAGGGGAACTGACACAATGTGAGAAACAGACATTAAAAGGGGAACAAAGCATCAAGAGTCTTGAAAAGAAGTTAGAATGTGATGAAAATACAGGATGCTTTGCCAAGTTTTGAAAAAAAGGAAGAGAAAGTTGTATGTGAATGAGGAAGCATAAGAAGGGCAGTTTAAAAGTCGGGAATAAATATGCTTGCACTGCTGAAATGGGGAGACATAAACTGTCTATTAATAATGTTATGACTAAAGTTTACAAGTCAGTTAAAGACAAACATCCTATGATTAAATGACCACAATTAGAGAGACTTCCTCAAATAATCCCTGCCTCTTACCTGTGATCTCTATGCCAGGAAACCAAAATCACCAGGTTTTGCCTATGGACTCTACTAAGTTCTCCGCCCATATATGTTATCCTCCAATGTCACACGCTACATCAGGTTCAACCTACTCTTAGAGGCAAAGGTTTTTAACAATGATTTACTTTTAGTACAGTATTGTTTAAAAACAATAATAAAGCAAGCTGGGTATGGTGGTACCTCTGTAACCCAAGCACCCAGGAGGCTGAGGCAGAAGGACAGACTTTGAACTAGTCTGGGCTAAGTAAGTTCCAGGTCAGCCTAGGCTATATGGTGAAGTAAGACCAATCTTAGTAAATAAGTGAAACTTCAAAACTTTAGTTACAGACTAGAGTTGTGATTCAATGAAATGCACTTGCCTAGCCTGCGAAACCAAACGACACCCCATGTAACACTTGAAGCATTTCACTGGCCTTGGTTTCTGATGCTTCACTTTCAAGATACCTAGAGTTCACAGGGTTTTTTTTTTTTTTTGTTTTTTTTTGTTTTGTTTTGTTTTGTTTTTCGAGACAGGGTTTCTCTGTGTAGCTTTGCGCCTTTCCTGGAACTCACTTGGTAGTCCAGGCTGGCCTCGAACTCACAGAGATCCGCCTGGCTCTGCCTCCCGAGTGCTGGGATTAAAGGCGTGCGCCACCACCGCCCGGCGAGTTCACAGGGTTTTAGAAGCCTTGTAGTTTCTCTGAAACTGAACTCCTCAGGAACTACAAACTGTATTTTTCTATTGTGATGTAAGTTCCTGAAAAAGTAACCATCTTTTCTTAAATAGCAGTATTATTGTAACAGTTCAATTATCTGTCTTCTTATATTTCAAAAGAACTTTCAAACTTTCCCTCAATTTTATTTTCTAAAATAATAACTATAAATAAATAACTATAAAAATAAACTAGTTACCCAAGCCA